CGGGGCCGGCTCGGGTTCACCGGGGTCAGCTCGGGCTCACCAGAACCAGCCTGGGCTCGCTGGGTGGGGCCGGCTCAAGCTCACCGGAGCCGGCTCAAGCTCACCGGAGCCAGCTCAGGCACACTGGGACCGGCTCGAGCTCGCCGGGGCCGGCTTGGGCTCGCCGGGGCCGGCTCGGGCTCGCCGGGGCCGGCTCGGGCTCGCCGGGGCCGGCTCGGGCTCGCCGGGGCCGGCTTCGGCTCGCCAGCACGGCAGCCCCGAGCTCGCTGGGCATGGTTCAAGCTCGGGCTTGGGCTCGCGCGGGTGCCACTGAACTCGCACGGGGCCCGTCGAGCTCGCACGGAGCCGGGCTCATACGGGGCCGGGCTCGCACGGGGCCGGCCTCCCACGAGCCTGCCCGGGCTCACACACGGCTGGGCTTGCACGGGACCAGGCTCACACGCGGCTGAGCTTGCACGGTGCCGGGCTTGCACGAAGCCCGTTTGGCTCCCGCGGTGCCCGCTCGGCTCGCACGGGGCCGGCTGGACTCGCATGGAACCACGCTCGCACAGGACCCACTTGGCTCGCAGGGGGCCCGCTGAGCTCGCACGGGGCGGGGCTCGAAGGGACGGGGCTGGGCTCACGCGGGGCCGGCTGGGCTCGCACAGAGCCGGCGGGACCGGGCTCGCGCGGGGACAGGCTCGCACGGGGCCCACCTCAACTGGCACGGGGCTGGGCTCGCACATGGCTGGGCTCGCACGGGGCTGGGCTCACACGGGGCCGGCTCGGGCTCGCAGGGAGCCGGCGATGCCGGCTGGGCTCGCACAAGGAGGGGCACATTATGGCCCAGGCTCGCACAAGGCCGGGCTCGCACGGAGCTGGGCTGGCACGGGGCCGGGCCCGCAAGGGGCCGCGCTCGCGAGGCCGGGCTCGGGCTCGGGTTCGCGCGGCTGCGTTGTCCTAAGCATGCAAGACGGGGCCGAATCGGGCTCGCGGCTGAAGCGGCAGCGGCGAGCCCTCTCGGGTTCGTGGCTTGGCTTGCTACTCTGGCGGGCTGGGCCAGGTATGGGCCCGCTTTACTGTACACGCGTAAAGGCTTCCACATCTTCAAAAAATGCAACAGCGACGAAGAACAGCGCTCCCTCCTATTCTCGTCCACGTTCGACGTTGCAACCAACTCTTTGAGCCTCTCAGGCTGCTTGCGTGTTTTTCTTCTCTCTTTCTCGTTTTCAAAATAGTCAAGGAAGCTAAAAAAATCTTGCTGCAGTAAGGAGGAACTTCCTAGCCCACTATATTTGCCACGTGGGGCCCAGAGGAGCAACTTCCCTAGTAAACTGGAAAATGATCGACTCTTGCTTCTACAACGCGCTGCGTTGCTGTGGTACTAGCCGATGAGCTGTTAATTATATCGAGAACGGAGTCGAAAAGCAATTTTTCTGGTAAACGCTTTTCGCGTTCACTCATTATATTCGCGGACATGACATCACTGTCTTCGACATTCATCTTATGCCTTGCGTCCTGAAGATGTACACAGTGAAACATCGCCGAGCAGTTTTGTGGTTCGCGGAAACCAACCCAGTCGACTGAAGCGGTGCCCTCTCCCTCTCCTCCTCCCCATACAGATGACTTGCACGTTATGGGCTTTTGACGACCCAGTTGTCCGACGAGCCCGTATCCAACAGAATGCGCATGGGTCTCTCTTTCACCCCAACCTGAGTTAGAAACTATAGTACTTAGTTTGTTCTTCTAGTTACTTACCTGGTACCACAACCAGAAGCAGAAGCACAGGAATTATGCGTGGTCATCTAGTACCTCCTAGTCGAAGTAGCATGATGCCCATCGTCGGCCCCTTTTCCTAAAAATAGGCAAGTTCGAACCGATGTTGGAGCTGAGGAATGCAGCAAACAACTACAACATACTGGTGTAAGACCTTTAAATATTACCTGAAGTGCGGTGGAGGTGCAACTGCAACAGCAAGAACCTCAACCTTTCTATTAACTGAAGTTCCGCTGTCACAATGACGCTCATCGGACTCCTTGTTTGTAAAGACAATGCAGAAGGAGCACCACGACGGGTATTTGGTTCTGAAGATACTCCATCATGACAATCTAAGTGGAGGTCCACCAGCGATTCTTGATGCTAGGATTCTGTCCCGTCGCAAGCGGTGATGCACAGTGGGTATGCTCCACAACAGAGGGGCGCCATGAGCGTCCTCCCCGAATGTTGTTGTACTCTTTTTAGATTAATTTACATCTTCATCTGATGTGATACAATATAATCAAAGACAGAGTCAGTTGAAAGAATTTGAATTCTAGTAAGTTGTAGATACAACAACTACTATCTTCTATCACTTCCATCGGCTCTTACTCTTTGAACTACCTTATCGAGAGTGAACGGATGATCATCTGTGTCCAGTGATGTGCTGCTGTAGTGCCTTAATACCCTTTACGCTCTGTCTTGACAATTAATTGCGCGAAGATTGTCGTGGTGATAAAAGTACGCTGTGGTTTCTAGTACACTCTGTCCTTAAGGATGGAGGTCAAGTTAGTAAGGAGATGATAAAATCTATACATTTTGGACTTTTGTTTCCGCAACAGCCCCATAACCTTAGCTACCTCCGCACTGCGAGGAGTACTTTCCACGACTTCACTTTCCACGACAGGCAGCACATCGCTTGCAGTACGCACAAAATAAAGGCCTCTATTGTGGTCGTGCTCGTCATCGTGCGATTCTAGTTGTATTTCCTTTTGCATCAGCTGCGTTGGAGGGACCATGATACATAGTGCATCGCGTTCGCGTTGCGCTGGACGAGAGGCCATTTCCCCAGTTGTACGAGAACCCTAAGCCTCGCTTACTCCTGAACAAGAGAGCCGCGGCCAACAAGCCCGTTGCTCCCAAGGAACATCAAAGGCCCAAAATGAATATGAAACGTTTCATCCAGCGCCGCCCAATAGGAGCTGCTCTCGTTGCCGGTTCGGTTTGCTCGGGAGAATCCCTTCACCCTTCTTTTAGCCAAGATGAAGGCTTGATGCCGTCCATTATCTTTATCACCTCGCGGTTCTTGATGAACAACGAACAGGCACGCTTTCTGCACTTTGATGTTGCTTAGCAGCCAATCTAATGTCTCGTAAGGCATCATGAGGCGAAGAAGGCAATAACAAGAAAGGAATCTTGAATACTTGTCGGTTAGAACGACGTCGAGTGCCGCGACTTGCCGAGTTTGGCTGCTCCTCATCATGATGCGAATTTGGATGCCAAGAAGTTGAGCGATCATGACTACCCTCTCCTCCGGGAAAGGCCGCTCTATCCAACAAAAGAGACAGACTTCGCTTTCGCCGCGCATATGCGAATGTAGATGAGAGACCCAGGAGCAGCGCTACAAAGAGCCTAGAAGAGCATCTTGTTTCGAACGTGGCGCGACGTTCATCTAGTCGTGCGCACATGTTGTACATTCTAGACGAGGGAAACACGCCAGTTCAACAGTAGAGGGAAACCATGGGCATGGTATACTATTTACTATAAATATTAAACACGCCAGTTGTACCATATAAATGACTGCCTAAAATACCGAGAGAGATGAACGAGCGAGTGCCAATGTATGCAGGACTAAAGTGAAATTGAAATGATGAAGATAAGTGCAGCAAGTGGAAAAGCCGCGCCTCCAGCTAGTTGTGCCTACGTTTCATCCAGGACTCAGGAGGCCCAGACAGAGTCAGTTCATCTTGTCTCCAATTAAATGCACTTCGATTCTCTCTGCAGCTTTACCGCTGCTCCCGGTCCGCCCTTTCTACTTTACGTACCACGGGCGCCTGTCTTTTACATCATGATGTTCCTCGTCCTTTCTGATGACTAGCGCCTTGTAACTGTGCAACATAGTTAGAGGTAAGTATTTTCTTTCTAAGTCAGCTGATGTCTCTTTGGACCAACCGTGGGATGAGTTTGTCATATCTTGTACTAGTGTAGTAGCTTCATTTGCTCGTAACGTGTTGGGGAATAAAAAAAGGCTATTTATCAAGATTTTGTTCTGATGAAGTTTCGAGGTATGAAAATCAAGCACGAGATGATGGTCAAGCTCTGGAATCAAGCTGGTTCTTCCATCTCATTTCGAACGACCGCTGAATGAGGATGAGTACTCACTGTTGATTTTGATGTTTCCTTCTTCAACATCGTAATCAAACTGCAGCGACGATAATGCCCGTGCATCGGCATTTTTACTTAAGTTCTTACTTACATAGGGGGGGGTAGGATAAAAATGGATGCTAGTAAATATGAACATCGTTGTAATTATCAGTAGATCATAGATGTTGACAGGTTGTATTAATTTCAAGAGTGCTTGTCAATAATCAATCAGATACTCGGTGTACGTGCATGACCAAGCTCGTCCTTGTTGTCCGTAACCCTTGTTCCCACACTGCTTCTTGATGAGGAGCATTCGTCCTCCTCATCCTATACCGCTTGATCAGCATTCGGATCCTGGATTACAATCAGCAAGTACTCTTTATCCGGTGCCACCATGATCTCATGCTTTCGACTTCGGATTCGCAAGAAGGTTAAGTCGTTCTGGTGTTGGATTGGAAAAACATGATAATGCAAATTGTGGTGATTCTGATAGAAGTAGAATGGATGAACTATTGGTTGGTGCTCAACAACGAAAACGAAATGGACATAGTAACCCATGCACAACTTGTCCGAGTAATAAATTGTAAATTGTGAGAAAAACCAGAACAACAAGTAGGCTACCAGAAGCAGAACTAAATGAGGCACCATGATGATGCTATTGCTAAAAACTTGAGGTCGTGCATGTAATTCCAAGTAGTCCCTTATAAGTAAGGCACAGAGAAACAAGTACCTGAGGATCCAGGTCCCTGACGACAGAGCGTGCTTTCGCTGTGAGTTGCGAAATGAGACTAGAATACTGCAGAGTGAACTTGAGATCTAGAGTCGATCGAATCGGTACGCCTTCGGCGTTGACAATCACGATCCCTTGCACACCCTTATGCGTCTTAATCCGGTTCAACGTTTCTTCGACTTCGGACTGTGCGTGAAAATCAAAATCGTGAGTGTTTTTTCAAGTAAGAACGTAATAAAGCAAAGAAGTGAGTGAGGACGCCTCGAGAGAACAAGAAAAATGAGTTGAAAGTAGACGTAAAGTAAACTTGAAAGCAGAAAATTGTTTTCTTTGATTTCAGACTGACAGAGCAAGAAGAAGTAGGAGAACGAATTTCTAGTACCATCTTGACGGCGACAAGTCTAGACGACGGCGATCTAGGAGTTGTATCTTCCCCGTTAGAATGATACTCCGCTCCGAACGCTGCTCTGGACGAGTAGCGCCAAGAACTCTATGCTTTATGCAACTACTCCTAGGAGTCCTAGTGTGGTGTAGTTCCTACTGATTTTAGATGGATTTGTTTGGATCCCTAGTACTCGTAGAAGATGGTGCTCATAGAATTAGAGACATATAATAAATTGTAAGTGTGAAGATATTATGGGGATTGAGTCTCCATGGCGATGGCATTGGAGTAGCATATAAATATGATAACAAAATTCTCAGTATGTGTTCCATCTGATGTGCGGCCGTCTCTCTTCATCCCCCTTTTGACTTACGGCCATCGACTGACCGAAGCAAGACGCTCAACTTTTTCAACAAGAAGTCTTTTACGAAAATAAACTTTTTAGTGGTACGAACAAGTTACAACTTCTTCTCCTGGACCTGGAACTCCAAAACTGCGCGACCAGCACAAGCTAATGCGCGCTTCCGGAGAGTTACACTTTTTATTTCAATGAGATATCTATATGCATAAGTAGTGCACTCGCGTTAGTCTTAGTGGAAGAAGAGCAAGACGCAGTAGAATAAATGATCATCTCAAGTGCGTGGCAGTAGGCTGTCGGTTGTCGTTTTCCTAAGCTGCTATAACAACACGATAAGCTGCTACATCGAGTCGCAGTTCCTGTGCAAAAGACATCAACACCAAGAATGTGAGTCAGTCTCTTACATCCATCTCCCGTGTAGATCCCCGACTCCTTTTTTCTGTGGCAATAGTCACTCATCTTCTTGCTAGCTTGTTGTGCGTCGGAAAAAAGCAGTGTTCAGCCATTCATTCATTAACTTCCTTCTGTAGTTGGAGACGTTGATGAATTATACATAGTATACCAGAATCATCGTGGTCCAAGTCCCTGCGGCAGCTCGTGCTCCCGAAAACATCCCCCCCATTTGCTTTTGATTTCGCTCCCGCCCTTGCCGCGTTCCGGAGGCGGGCTGCGTGTTTTTTCGCGTCAGCTTCCTGCCGTTTCCTAATACGGTCTAGTTGATCGCGGGTGGGCGGCGGCTGCTGCGCGGGTCCCCCACGACCTGAGGGTCTCCCAAGAGCTGCGGTTGCACCAGTTACGGGTCTCCCACTAGCTGGAGGTACACTAGCTGCGCGTCCGGGAGGTCCGGTCTGACGGGCTGTGGATCGCTCGGAAGCGCTTGAGTCCTATTGCCAGGCATCCTCCAGCGCCTGCTTCCGCTGTGCCTCCTTCAGCCGACGTTTTTCGCGTTCCTCCTCCTTTTTCGCGGCTTCCTGCTGTTTCGCATCCGCATGCTCCTGCTTCTCATTATCCTGCGCCTGCATCTGCGCCAGGCGCTCACGTTGATTCTACTTCATCACCTGCCTTTGTGCCTCCTCCTGCGCCAGCCGCTGGCGTTCAGTCTCCACCGCCTGCTTCCGCTGTGCCCTCCTCCCCGTCCTGCTTCTCTTCCTCCTTGGGGGCAGGCGCACTCTGTTGCAGTTCCACTTGCGAAACTTCTGAAAATTAGACTTTTAAATGGAAGATGGAAGTGGATCAAAGATGCCTCGTTCTCTCTCTCTCTCGTCAATTTTGATCACATTACATGTGATGTAACCGGTAATTGATTTCTAATGACATTAGAAATTAATGACTACATGTCAAACTCAAAGTGGTAATGATTGCATAGTAATTATTAATACATTTACATGTAAATATTGCAGCGGCAAGAACAAGCTGTTTCGAAAAAGTGAAATAAGCGAGTATAATCTAGATAAAAAACAATCTCAGATATTCGGTTATTGCATTTGCAAGTAGTTGCTCGATGGATTAGTTTCTTAAGATCTCGACAAGCTGTCGTACAAGCCTTTATGTTGTCCACGATCCGGTTGCGCACTCGAGAGCTTCCGCTGCGCCTTTGATTTTAGACCTGCTCATAGTAGTCCTCCACCATTTAATACATCATAATCTGAAAGTCATCGAGAACCTCACTACCTTAGTAAGCTAATAAATTTATAAGGCCTAGCCCTAGCTAGAAGTAGAACCAGATATATATAGATGATGATCGTTGGAAAGGTCAACATGTGTTCCAATTCATCATTTTGCGACTAAAATCCAAGGCGAAGCGAAGCGTCAGCAAGATTGATTATCCATGGAGCCACAATCCAATGCTCTCCTCCTGTCGTTTGTAACCTCACCAAAATCCGACCGAAAGTTTCAAGGTAATACTTACTTCGGTCAACAATATTGTGAGTGTGAGCTGAGAGCGAGGAAAGTTGTCGAGTGTGAGCGAGGGCGGGAGGAACGGAACGCAGCGAGGAACGGAACGGAACGGATAGATCACGATGGACATGTATTCCAATTCAAAAAAATTTTGCGACTTAAATTCGGGTTCGTTGGAGTCTCATCCCCGTCTCCACAGGAGCTGCTGTCACATTTTTCGAGGAAAGCCTGGTCTGCAGAACTCCGAGTCGCTGGCGTAAAGACTGGTGTGTGGACAGGCGTATTGTGTGCAGTGGCTTCTCGTAGTCGCTGACCCCTCTTCAACAGATTCATCCCCTTTGTCTTAGAAGTAGTTGATGCACCTGAGAAAAGTAAAAGAGGACGGGAGGTGGAAGTTTAAGAATTATTCGGTAGAGGAGCAGACTAAGTATTTATGTATAGGAATTTACTATATGTGATAGGGATACTATTACTAGAGCTAGGCGATGTAATGGAGTACTATTACCGCGTAATTTGTAAGGTTTGCCAGCTCGCATGGCAACATGGAGGGCATGGATCGCATGGAGCTGCATGGAGGGCATGGATCGCATGGAGCTGCATGGAGCTAAAGGGGGCGCTTCTTGTGTCCCTTAGAGGTCTGCGCTCCATGCACTCCATGCTACTCCATGCTACTCCATGCGTGCTATAAACTGCTCGGCTATTACTAAGAAGTAGGTGATTTAGTATTTGCAGTGCGAGTTTAGGTTTACCCATTCTTCAGGAAAAGTGGTAGTGGATCGATTATTGATGGAGATAATGCAACATCGTCTTCTTTTTCTCTATATTTATTATATACTATGAAATTTATACTTAGATTGTACGGGTACCTCCACTTCTAGTCTGATATCCTTCGACGTGTAGTTGTTGCCGCATGGAGAGTACCACTGCCATAGCAGCCGCCGTTTTTCTCTTTCGGCGTCGTCCGCCTCCCTTTTTCAATCGCTTGCCCTTGGGAATGACAGCCATTTTTCTTGATGTTTGGCGGCTTGTTGGTCTATGGCCTATGCTTGTTCCTTCTTTTCGAAATATCACAGCCCGCTTTTCGTACTGAGACGTGTTACTCTTGCATGGATGACACGATCTTTTCATGAGAGGTGTAGTTAGACACTAATGTATGTAGGTACACTGTAGAATACCATCAAGAGTAAAAGATCATTATCATTCTTGCCCAAGACAAAGGTATTTTTTATGTGTCAAAACTGTTTGCGTTTGAGAAAAATCAAGCGACACTTTTACGAAAACCGAACGACGCCGAGAGTCTCAGTGCGCACTTAGACAAAAGATCGAGGGACCGAGAAGTGATAGGTAGAGTGGACACGAGAGCCGACCGATGAGATGTTAAAAAACGTGTCGTCCTCCTCTTCATCTTCCTGTCTGTGGTCCTCCATTCCACTTTCAATGATTTCATAATGATGATTTTTGTCACTTTTTGATTTTATTTATTCATTCATTCATCGATTTTAAGTATCTCTTATTGATATCCAACATTTTTTATTCAGTAGCAGTACAAAGAAATCCACCAGTATGTAGATAGTAATTGTAAATTGCGTTCAATATTCTATTCAAAGAAAATGCTTCCCAATCGCAATCTAAGACTCTACAAATATAATAAAATCGTAATAAGCCAGTTGTTATCGTCCTAAATTTCCCTTTCGTTTTCGACACTCACAGCACAAGGAGGAGCAGCTGAACGTTTATTTCCTTCTTGTTTCTATACAACATACGGCTACTAGTTATAAATATAGATATTCTCATACATATTTAAAAATACATGATTCGCTTTCATCGCTCTATGTATCGCTGTAGCTATGTTATATCAGACTGTCTTGAAATCTTAGTCCTTACTATCCCCATCGGTTTACGTCACAGTGTTAATTATCTTGGATCGAGCCTCTCTTGTATTTTTCAGAAAACATCAGCAACAAACAAATCGTGGCGTCTCTATTCTTGGTAGGTATCCTACTCTAGCAGTGAATGAAGACTAATATTTCAAATCAATAGCAATACTAGCGGTACGCAACGTACTAATTCAATAAAATTCTAGAGCATTACACGCATGATGATACACCACAACATGATTCACTAAGACTTTTCACTTGATGTGGATACTAGTAGCCACGCCCACGCCCACGCCCAGGGCTTGGAGGCTGAGGCCGAGACGTTGGAGTCGAAGGTCGTCTTGCAGTGTGGGGCTGTGCAGGGTTGCGCTGTACAGGGTTGCGCTGTACAGGGTTGCGCTGTGCAGTGTTGCGCTGTGCCTGTAGGCTGTTGCGCTGTCCTTGATGGATGTCGCGCTGTGCCTGTGGCCTCTGGGCTGTGGCGCTGTGCCTCTGGGGCTGTGCCTGTTGGCTGTGGCGCTGTGACATCGCCCGCTGTGCCTCCTTCCTGCGGTCCTCCTCCTCCTTCTCCTTCCTCTTGCGGTTCTTCTCTTCCTCCTCCCTCTTGCGGCTCGCCTCCTCCTCCTTCTTCTTCTTGCGGCTCGCCTCCTCCTCCTCCTTCTTCTTGCGGCTCGCCTCCTCCTCCTCCTTCTTCTTGCGGCTCGCCTCCTCCTCCTCCTTCTTCTTGCGGCTCGCCTCCTCCTCTTCCTCCTTCTTGCGGCTCGCCTCCTCCTCTTCCTCCTTCTTGCGGTTCCGGTTCTTGCGGTCCTTCTTCTCCTCCGCCGGTTTCTCCTCCGGGGCAGGCGCACTCTCTTCCGCCGGCGGTTCTCCTTATTAGAAATATTCGTATCATGTAGTCTTAATATGCTAGTTCATTCATCTCGAACAAAGTCAAGAATGCCCTACGACGCACTGATCCCCCCGAAAATGGAAGCGGGTCAAAGATCGATGCATCATCATCTGAGCATCCCTGCCTTCTCATTTGAATACCTCGACCTCCAGTAAACAATCTAAATCTAAATGCTTATTTGCGCTTTTTCTGAGGAGGAAGCAAACCGCCCAACATCATGGAGAAGTGAGTGTTCTACGACCTTTTGACGCTTCTATTATAATATTGGTGGAGCAGACCTAGCTAGAAAAAGTGAAAATCAAAATCTTCAGTCAAGTACAGTTATACTTGTCTACTACTACTACTTTCATCGCTTCTATTATATTTCAGGTGAAAAATGATATGTGCAGGAGCAGGACCACGCACCAGGGGCAGCAAGAACAAGCAGAAGCCTTAATGTTTCGGGGCTGGTGGAGGAGTATCTGCTTTTGCCTTTGCCTTTACGGGACCTTTATTTCAAGTTAGAACTTACAACTACAGTTCCGTCTTTATTTACTAGAAGAACCGTCCATCTTCAGGGTGACTACCCGCCGTCCATCTTCATTTAATAGATACCTCACCCATTCCATTGAGTCTATCACTGGCGAGCATGCCGGCCCCTAGAATATGCCATGCTATCCTGAGTCCTCATGTAAAGGAACAAGTGACAACTTTAGTTAACAAGCAGCTGGTCTAGAGTGAGAAAGTCATGAGGTCCATCAGTTTTGCGTCTCAACAAACATGGATTTTCATATTTTTTTTGGTCACAAATTTCAATTTATAAGAAATTATAGATGCAGAGTGTCTTATGTTCATAGAGTAAGAAAGGGTATTAACTTGATCCACACTACACGACATACTTGATATATTATATACAACTGGTAAGTTAGAGAAAACAAGTGCCAAGTACTTAAGGGCGTTAACCTATTTGTTATTGTTTCGACACGACTTGATAGCATTAATTAAGCTGGTAGTGGTCTTGTTATATCATATAAAAAACATTTACATTAGCTGAAATCCTGCAGACGCAGCCGCTACTTCTTTTTTTTCCTAGGTAGATGAAGAACTCAAGACGAGCAGAAGTAGCAGGACCTTCACGACATGTAAGTTTCCAATTGCTTCATGATTGATGTGAGCCGTAACGGGCTCGCTGAAGTCTCATCCGAGTCTCCACAGCACGAGCTGTCCCCGTCACATTTTTCGAGGAAAGCCTGGTCTGCAGAACTCCTCCTCGCTGGCGTGAAGACTGGCGTGTGGAGAGGCGTATTCCCTGTAGTGGCTCCTCGTAGTCGCTGACCTCTTTTGTTCAGCGGATTCCTACTAGATGAAGTAGTTGTACCTGAAAAAAGTAAAAGAGGACGAGAGGAAGTTTAAGAATGACTAGGTAGAGGAGCAAACTAACACTAAGTAACTACATCTATAGGAATTTACTATATGTAATAGAAATACAAGGCGAAGGCGATGTAGTGGAATACTATTACTTAGAGGTTGCGACATTGCATTCCTCAGAACATCCTTCACTTCTTTCCTAGTGGAAAACAAGTCAAGGATGGCAGTGAGGAATGCAATGTGGAAACCCTCAAATTACTACGAAGAAGTAGTAAATTCAGTATTTGCAGTGCGAGTTTGCCCATTCTTCAGGAGTGGCAGTGCATTTTTATCGATGAGATATAGCAATGAATAGCAATAGAAAGTTCTCGCATTTATTGCGACGACTACCGAATGACAAGGCGCATCGTTTTTCTGACTCTTATCTTCATCATCTTGGTTTCTCTTTCTTCTTTTTTTTTTGCCTACTTGTCTACAAGTGCACAAACATTTACTTACATGACATGAATCGGGGGCGTGGTCCGATCCTACAAACTAGGAGAAGAGCAGGGGCGTGGCCTGGCTTGTTGAACAAGAACTAGCGCGGGCTCACAGAACCGCATATCTATGCGCACATTAACCGTGAACGTGATGGATTTAGGTGATGAACAATAACTAAACACTATCTAAATATAACAACAAGATCATGCTAAATTGGTGAAAGGATCGACAGGGCTAAATGAATAAACAACACCCATAAGATCATGTATGGATCTTGCTGCGGGGAGACGTGATCCCAGCAGCCAAAAGTGTATAACCGTGATTGGAGAAACTACTGCCGTTCGTGAAAACAGACAAGTAAATGGAGGATAAGCCTGCGATTAATATCTTCTTCTTCTTTATATTTATATATAATACAGATGATACCTCCGTCAGTCTGATATCCTTCGACCTGCACCTGTTGCTGCATGGAGAGTAAAACTGCCACAGCAGCCGCCGTTTTTCCCTTTCGGCGTCGTCCACGACCGCCTCCCTTCTTCAATCGCTTCCCCTTGGGAATGAAGGCCATTTTTCTTGATGTTTGGCAGCTTGTTGGTCTTTGTTTGTTCCTCTATCGCTTCCAACTAAGTATCACAACACGCTTTTCGTACTGAGACGTGTTACAATTGCACGGATGACACGATCTTCTTCATGAGAGGTGTAGTTAGACACTAATGTAGGAGGCACACTGTAGAATACCAAAAGTATAACTATTAGTCAATGATGTTTGCTCAAATACAAAAAGGGTGAGGGATTTTTTGTTGTGACCTCGAAACTGCTTGCGTTTGAGAAAATCGAACGACACTTTTACGAAAACCGACAATGTCAGTGAGTACTTAGGCGAAAGATCGAGGGACCGAGAACCGATGGACCGATGGTTATTTCACTTTGATGAAAAAACCGATTCTACTGACGAAAGAGAGACACTTCGAATCACAGACAAATAAGTAACTCGCTCATCCTCGGACATTGCATGGCGAGACGTTAGGACAAGGAGTTCTGGCCGAATTATATTAGCTCTCTCTGGTCTCAAAGCTGATTCGCTATATCAGCCAGGACTTCTCGTTGGTACAGGCTATTAGCCCTTCTTGTTCTTGCCATAACCAAATACCTCGGTGGTCAGAACCAGCACGATTCCTGGTGGAGATGTAGTTGAGTAACCTATTACAGAACGAGCTACTGAGCTTAGACATAGTTATCCTATGGACTCTCTCGAAGCAGATGCCTCAAAACATAGGAGTAGAACCGTCACACGAAGGTAATGTGCTTGTGGTGAAATAGTGTCTACTCCAATATCTAGCTCGAGCAGGCAACATCAGAGCCTAATAAGGTGTCAGCCCCGATTCGCCCTTTCCTTCCGTCTCTCATGTCAATAATGTTGTATGTCGTGTCATGTCATGATACCTCAGTACCCGTCCTATCTAACGGTATTGAGGCCATTCAGCCAGAATGTATGCATCAAATTAAGTGGATGAGCATGTGCGAACAGGCCACGACCCGTGTAAGTACTTAGTCAAGAATCCCTCAAACCCTTGCTTCGTTGGACCAGCAGGGTTACAGACGAGGAGCATTAGCGGAACCTGGGTTATTCTGGTACCTCCAGGCATCTGGGTGCTTACGATGCCACCAGCGACCTCTGGGCAGGGAAGCCTGCGCTCAACAAGCTAACCAAGGGCAAGACGCTCTCTCATCAATCTTGGCCTTGCTCTTAGACCTTACCGATATTCCCAATTTGACCTATTTTTCCCCTTGAAAGCACGTCAAATATGTCTCTCGAGATGAATAGAAGTAAGCCTTAATAGCTTGGTAACCAGCCGCGGGAAAACTTGCGGCTCGCACTGGGCCAGATTGATTCTATCCGGGGCATTTTTTTACGATGCAGTTCATCGATCACGGGAATCCTTCATCCGGCGTGAACGCGCTTCGTCGTCGCTGTCCTCCCTCACAAACGCCATCACAGAAGGAACAGCATCGTCGTGCCTTGTCACGCGCTTCCACTTCCGTTAGGTTATGAACGAGGAGGACCGATATTTTATTAAGAAGGGCTTCATATCGCTCGAGGTGAGTTGCATTCACGTGTTTTCAGTATAATCAAAATAAAAAAATGGAATTTATATATATTTTTTCATTCCGCAAGTAAAAGTATAAACAAAATAAAGGTCGATAGAAGCAGCCGCAGGACTTACTTCTCGATAGAGCACAGCTAGACTTACTTGCTGTCATCCACAAAAAGATCGACGCAGGCAATCTCGCGTACGTCCTTGTTGGTATTGAATTTGAATCAATAAAGTCAATGGCTTACGCTTGGAGCTTTACAAACAATGAGAAATAGACTGAAGCTCTTCGGATGATGTGAATCAATTCCGCAATCTTCTGCCTAAGATTTCCCTGGCGACTTCTCTTAAGTTGAAGCTTTTCCAAAAAAAGTTTTCATAAATATGTCTTGCGACGTCGGGAAGATGGCGCTCTAGGACATCGCGTAGCCCATCCGTATGGTCTACGTGCTGTAGGCCAACCTGACTGTAGTACTCCGCTCGATAGTAGGTGGTGAACCAGGGGTCGGCTTCGAGACGGTGGGAGGCCATCAGCACGAAGATCTGAAACGCAGTCTCGGAGATCGCGAAGCCCTTGTGGGACCTGCACTCTGCAAGACAGCCAACCACAAGAGCTATTTAGCACTACTAGAGCTAGGCTTTCATCATCTACTTCCCCTGCCTGTTTGTCTTTGTGTTTCGGACGTCAGCGAACATAACTGATATCTTTCTTGAGCTGAAAAGTGGCATCTTGAGAAGTGTCTGTATCTGTTCGCCTAACTTAATATTTATTGCTCTTTATAATTTCCTTGACTTAGACTTTTTTATGTGAGGCGAAATAGCACGATTCTTCCTGCACAGGAAACAACTTCTCCTGTACATGATACAAGTTCAAAATAGAAGGGTGAAATCAAAAAACCAGCTTTCCTTGTCATGTCTACGACCATAGAGGCTAAGACGACAATAGGTACTTACATAGAAGGGGCCAGGAGTAGGATGATGAAAAACTAGCATGCTTAATCGACTTTTTCCACGTCGTTTTGGTAGACTTCGGCTAGCACTTGGCAAGTTTCGGCAGGCAAATGGCTCAGCAAAGGCTCCTCCTTGGGGTCGAAGGAGAGAAGAGGAGCCATGTGCAGAGCGCGACGAAAATTATTGTACCGTGCACACCGGCCGAGCCGCTCTCGGTCGCGAAACACATCAAGACACGCGAGATCAATACGCCGCACATTTTCATCCACTTCCGGTGGTGCGAAGGACGAACAAGCAATGTGAATGTTGTTTTCACGAGTATTCTTTTCTGGCTTGGTATTGCTGTTTTCTGGAGGAGGCACGGAGGAGCTGGAGCCACCGAAGCCAAGCGGAAAACCCAGTCTTTTCTCCTTTTCTTTTGCAGCTTGCCACTCAGTCCGTTCAAGGTACCGACCTTGCTCATCCGTGATTTCGATGTTGCGCAGAAAATCCGGATAGTTCCCCAAAACGGCCGCGCCGGCATTTTGAGCGACGTAGGATATCCACAAGTCTCCTGTTGTGAAACTATGCCTGACAGCGTCGGACCGCTCACCTCCGCACAGCCACAGGTACGGAAGTTTGAACTTCCTGTTAGAATTCTCATCAAAACCTTTATCATTTTTCATGATGAGGCTCCGCTGGCCATGGAGGTGGTACTTCTGCCGGCCTAGTTCCCAGGAAGACTTAGTGATCTCAACGTGTTTCTCCACATCATCGACAACGTCTTTCTTGGTCGTGGCAGATCCTTTATTTTGTAGCAGGCGGCTTGTCTCAGCGTCCTCTGCCGTCATCTTGATGTCTGCGTCGTTCCTAGGGTCGCGAACAAAGAGGTAATCGGGTAGCATGGAATGCATATGACGGTAGACAGAGCTGAATTCTTCAGTGAACTGAAAAAAGTCCGTCAGGGTGTTCCCCATACCCGTCACCCCGGTGAGCATCTCTTGCAGTTCTAATGGCAGGGTATCGCTCAGCGCGCCTCCAAAAAGACCTTGCGAAACGTGCCGGCCAAGACCTCCATACCAGTTGGAACACATCGCGAACTTGAGACAAAATTAGAACCTCCACTAACTACGTATACAAATTAATACACCGAGTACGAGTTATACTTGTTAAGGGTTAACCAATTACATCACCCACAACCATTCCTCACTCTTTTTCCAGTAGGAAAGGGGTGAGGGATGTTCTGAGGAATGTATATGTAATTCCGTAACCTCTAAACTTGAGTAATTATTTTTCCGTGAATGCCTGTGTTACTTCACTTTTATTTCACATCATTCTTCTGCGGTTGCGGAAGACAAAAATCTACTACTAGTACCTACTTCTCAGGACACCTAATTTATCTGAAGGAACTAGATTTGCGACAGAAGACAGCTAATTAATATTAACACCACATGATGAAAAACTGTGCGTAACAGCGGGTGCGCAGAAGCTCGACGGTCCAATCTAGAGTGTGAATCTTTGCAATCACAGCTGCTGTGCAAAGACGGGCCGCTTCGAAGACGCGGCGCCCAGGCCAATCCGGATGTTGATCACGAATGCGCTTGGCTATGAAATTATGCTCCTTCAGAAAAAGTTCCTGGAGCAGCTCCACACCCACACTGTTGTTCCGCGGGTCCCCGTACTTACTGTTCTGCTCACGGTAAGGACAGCGGATCAGATTTTGCGAACTCGGTGAAGACCACGTTTCAGCTCCGTCATCCTTTGCGCTCCACTCGGGCACGACCCGACCGTCCCCCGCCTCCACCTCTCCGAGTTCACGCTCCGTGTGCCCATAAATCTGTCCTGCGTTCCACCACCCAGCGCGCGTATTGCTCGCAGCTAAGTACACCCCACTGGCACTCGTGATCTGATGATCACTTGTTTTAACCATAGTTTTAATAGTGCCTCTAGTTGTATTGTCCCCCTCATCGGGACCCTCTTCTACTCTTTCAGCATCAGAAGTGCTTGTGCCTTTGCTCCGTAGATCTTCCGGCAGGCTCAAAGGTGTGAAATGAGTACGCGCAATTTCAGTGAAAGCCGCTACTGGAGGACCCGTGTCTTCCTGCTCCATCCTGAAAGGATTACGAAGCCGAACCGTGCTTCCCGTGAAGCTAGCCTCGTCTCTGTCGATCTCCTTTGTCGTCTCTTTAGGACTATGCACCTCTTCCGTCTGCGCTCCATCATTCGTCTCCCTCACGCTGGCCGAAGAACAGACGTCCGCGGGCGCTTCTCGGACCAGGCGGTGGTCGATCCAGTTGTGAACCTCGAATTGAATCCAGGCTAGTGCAAGCGCATTCAATTGTCCTCCCGCGGGAACCATGCTACCTGTTCCGACCGCGTTTCCTGCTGCAGGGGCAGGATTGCGGGCCAGCAGGCGCTCCACTACCACTGGGATCGGAGGGTCATGCAGGCCGTAGACTGCTCCTTCGGTGTCATCCAGATAGTGTTCATCGAGATAGTCTTTTGCGCTTGGCTCTGGTGTGTTTCGACCAAAAAATCCGTGGACCTCCGCCGTCGGCGTGATCTGTCCTGGACTTGACTGTGTCGGACGTCTTGCTACGTTCTCTGTATCAACATCGCCGTGGTTCTCAGTAGACATTGACGTTGATGCCACGATTGGCAACATTTTGCTTGTCATTGTTTTCTCGTCTTCACGTGCGCCAGTTGTCAGCTGTTTTTTGGATGATTCATCTTTTTGCCCGTCTTTTTCGCATTCCGGGAGCGGCGCGTTTTTAGCACTGAATCTTTCATGCTCTCCTGCATGGCGCCGCTTCCACCACGGCGGCACATCTGGGCCGACACAGATGTGGTTTTCTTTCCGCCCCACAGCGCGATTCAGTGCCAGCATCAAAGCATTGGTCGGCCAAGGCAGGTAGTCCCGCAATTTCGCTACTTTTCCTTCCACTCTGCGCACTGCTGCCTGAGCCCGAACGAGCAATCTGTGAATCGGGCAGAAAACTTCCCGTACTTCACCAGCACCATTCTTTTCGTACGAAAGTGCTAAGTAGCGATCTCCCACTGCATCCGCGCACCGTGGCAAGAAGTCCTTCTCATAATCGCTGTCCAACACGTGCCGACGTGGGTGTCGGGCAGTCATGGCTGCGGTCTGGTCCCGCAGGTATCTCGTGACCCACGAATTGTTCAGCGGTAGGAAAGAAATTGACAAGACCAGGAGAGTCCAGAACAATTTAGACCTTCCCTGTATACTCATCTTAAAGTGCAGCATCTTTGACCGTTTTTTTCCTTGAATGAAATTCCATCTTTGACTGATGCTTCTTAAAATGAATACGCAGAAACCTTAAACAATGCCTCCTCTTGCCACGTCGATGTTGTGCAGTCACTTGTCTCCTGCTGCAGATGTGCCAACATCAACACGCGGTCCGAAAAAACCTCATACAGAATCCGAAGGGGGATTACGAGGACTTGTTCTGGCGGTGCAGGTAGAAGTGCCCCTTTCGACAGAAACAGGAGTTGCGAGCCGCTCACTCCGACGGCCCATGCGAGAGCCACGTAGAGAGCAGTGATCACAACCCAATTAGTTGGGCCAGGACATCGTCGGAAAAGCCTGCGCGGAAAAACGTCGACAAAGCGGTAGCTCCAGATCCACCAGTGCACGACGAACAAACCCTGCCATCTAGCGAGCTGCGCAATCTCATCTGTTCCGCGACCACTTTTAGACCTTTTTTCGCTTCTACTTATAAGTATCTCTATCGAAGATGAGGGCATCCGAGCTATATCTGGTCTTTCTTTCCGGTAAGTGTCTCTACCTAAGGTCATGTGGGATACACATACATCTTCACATACATGATCATGCGGGGATGAATTCATCTTTCTTAATATTTACATGCAAGTAAAGAAGAGGCCCAACTACTCACAGATCACTCCTGATATATGTACATATGTCGATGTGGATGTATTCTGATAACAACCAAGCACTATGAAAAACGTTCGGATATCGAGAGAAATCAAAATTGCAATGCATATTTTACTTATGAGAATTAATGTATGATCAATCTCTACCTAGTAAATATCTATAAATTAATAAGTCGTAACGACAACACCAGTGATGTTGGAACCACTGCTGGTACTAAGGCTTCCTACGAGCACAGATGCGACGCAAGAAGTCGTCACCAACAATTCCCAGACGTTTCGGAGGACAACCCAACCACCGATGAGACAACCGAAGCTCTGTGTGTTGCGGTTGAAGCCTTTGGACAATTGGTACGAAGTTAGCCACAGCAGGACATGAGAAACGAGGTACACGCGTACCGAAAGCAGGAGAAAGGGCAAAATCCCTGCTCCGAAAACGTGGAAAAGCGAAATAGCGATGTGCCACGAGAAAAGCGGCAACCCTGACGCATGCTTAAACGATGGATTCAGCAACCGGTGTGGACAGCAGGCCATTTCCCCAATCATCCAAAATCCAACTGTCATCCCGGCAACAAATAAGAACCCGAAAATTCCCGTCACCGTCCAGGCAAGTGCTGAGTACTTAGTGTTTCGTGCCAAAGCCAGGGTGACTCCTCCTCCTTCTCGTCCTCGAGAGTTTTTCCTGTCCATCTTTCTGGTGGTGCCCATTACAGACTGTTCTTTCGCATTAAGTGGGTTTTCTTGCCTGTAGTTGTTATGCTGGACAAGTATGTTCTGATTGATATTGGACGAGGACGATGAGGGCAACGTCGATCTTGAAGGACGATCCTTGTCGGAATTTGTGACATCGATCTGACCGTCAGAACCAACCTGCGCGACGAGGAAAGCAGTCGGCTCTTGAGCTGGTGCCTGAGCTTCTCGTCCAAAGTAGCGACCTTCGTCCTCACGACCCGTTTGTGCCTCTTGATTCCGTGCTTCATAATCATAACCCTCACGACCACGTGTTCGCAGATCAAAATGGCCTTGCGTGGAAGTTTCCCCTGTCCGCTTGGCGATAACCGCAGCGGGTAGACACGCAAACATCGTGCACAGAAGCAGTTTCGTTGCGACACACCATTGTCGTCGCCAAGGTCTCCTTCCTCTCGGTGTCGACACCATGGTCAAACTACGTACTCTGTTGCAGATCATGAGTTTTAAATTTTCTGTAGACAATGCTACGTTACACACTGAAAGAATGCTACGTTACACACCTCAAAGAAGGCATGTGAGAGCAAGCGAGTAAAATGAAGGAAGCGACTAATTACCAAAAAAGGTGCGGGACGAGATAATGGCATGAATATTTTTACATCGATACAACGGGGCAAAAAACGTAGACAAGCTCAACAAGAACCGCAATAGCGATAGCGAAATGAGTACTTTGACAAAATTATGACAGGTGTATTTCATTTGACCGATGAATCCAGTACGTGCGGCTGGTGAAAACTCTTTATCAATTTGCGCGCTCTATTCATTGTGGGGAGAGCAATACCAAATCTCAATCCACAAAATTTTTTGCTTGTCATTTCTCAAACTTTAGAGAGTCAAAAATTTTTGAAGCTGATGTTTTCGCAACAATATTCATGATGTACGACGAGGAAGGAGCCCTATTCCATTCATCTCAGACCGACACCTGATCAAAGGGTTTTTAAACGTCTCATTATAATTCTGAGTCTGGGTTGCATCTATTGGCCTGCAGAGTATTGGGTTGCAGAATGACTCGTATGGAGGACTGCGACGCGGCCACGGTTTTTAAAAAGATAATAGAGAACCGCCTGAACCATCTCAAGAAAACCTACCGAGCTATATTAAGGACCTCCACCTCCACGACTGTGTTGCAAACAATAACAATTTTCAGGCTACCGACGCATGCTCAAACTCTCGATTCACCGAACAAGACAAACCGACTTCACGGATCTTAATCTTTGTGATGATAGGTAGCTGTTCGTGGTTGCCAGCATCTGGGTTCTAATGAATGTCAAATCCAACTGTAAATAATAGATAGATATGATCATGATCAATGCAGGACGACCACACCCACAATCTTTCAAATCAAATTGATATGAAGCGTCGTAAAACTCGCTGGTGTTGCACCAATGTTTATACTTATGTATAATATAGTCAAATACATTTTTCTGCACAAGCTAGTTCTCACTTCTCTCACTCATTCAGCACTCCCCCAAAGTATCTCAGATCGTCATTTGCTCGACGCTGCGTCGCTTCATGTTGCGAAGCCCTGTGCACAAAAGATGGATATAAATTGAGCGGCGTCCGAAGCGGTGACGCGATCCGGGGTGGAGACCGTCGACGTCCGATTTCTAGCATCCCTCTGTATCCGCTGTTATGGAATGCGAGAATCTTCTCGTAATCAGTGCCGGAAATTAGCGGATGAAGGCTCACCATCTATTGCTTTTTCTACTAATTGGAACAACTTGTTTAACATACATACTAATACACTGTACTGATTACGCACAGTTCAGTACAACCTGCCATAATTAGTACAACTTTGTTCACTTCCAAATCCAATAATTATATTCAACATCGGTGTACTAGCCTATAGGGACTTGACTGAAACCGCAATGCGCGAGAAGCAGAAGCGACAGCAAAAATCCTAATAATTTCTAGATGCAAAATTCAAACACTGGAAAAATTTCCAGACGAAGGAATCAGCAGAATGTTGAAACAAGAATGATGCTTTCCCTTAATGAGAGGTCTTGAACTCTGTATTCCCGACTGAGGCTCTCCACCTGCTTTATACGCACATAGTGTGTGCCTATCCTGTGCACCGCGCCAACCAAAAAAAACACAGCAGTGACCAAGCCGATAACGAAGAGCAGCACGAGGAAAAAGACAAAACCCGTACCGGCACGTCCGACAGCGCCACCGAAAAAACCTGGACATTGGAGTTTTGCTGGAAAGTAAAATCATCCAAATTTTAATAAATTGTACTACAGCGCTCTTGATGTAGTCATCTGTAGAACAATTTTGCAGAAATCGTCTGCCAGCTACGTGATTCATTTGAAACACAAATCCACAAGAAGCACTTGTTAGAACAATAGCGCCCGTAATTACTTATGTTTTACCATCTGTAGCTGCAAGATGAAGTAGAAGTACTCGCTAGTAGAAAAAGGGGTCACGATTGGAAATCGAACCTCTCGCCATCGAACTGCATGCCTGACATTCGCACTGCCGCAATAGCATACCGCAAGGTCGGCAGCAGTTGCAAGCCCCACTGCAATTAGGATCTAGGTATAGCTGACAGCAGATTGCTACAGAATTGTTGCTCATTGCGTCGCAGCAGGCAGCGCAGAATCGCGGAAGTCTGCACTCGCACGAGCACTCTTCGCAATTGCAGCAGGGGCACAAGCGCCGGCAACCCGTGGAGCCAAGCAGGTAGTCGACCTGCATGCAGACGCGGTCTCCGCAAGAATCACAAGCGCGGCAACACGCCACGCAACACAAATCGTTTTCGTTGCTAAGGAAGCAATCACAACAGTCCCAACCGCGCTCCTGTTGCCCCTCTGTTTGCTGCTCTAGTACAACTTCATTTCCACCTGTCACGACTACCACATCCGGACCCTGGTCTTGCGTCACATGTGGTGACTGTCGACGACGACCGTCAATGTCATGCACATCTGCCGCCGCATCATTAAAAATACCCGCGCCAGTAGTAAAACTCATTTCGTCTGTTCGTCTGTTCTCAGCAGTCGACGACGATGCAGGATCACTTTCCTCGTTGGCAGAATCAGAATCGTCTGGCCGAATCAAGTACGGCGTCACATCGCAAACCTCACAACTGAGGGCCACTCCCACACCACGCGCACGCGCGTTTACAGACGCCGCAACGTCTTCGAGTGCTCTCGTTAGAACGGATCGAGTGCTCTAGCTAGAGGGGATTGCTGGGGATTCGAGTGCCCGAGTTAGAACGGATCGAGTGCTCTAGCTAGAGGGGATTGCTGCGGGTTCGAGTGCCCGAGTTAGAACGGATCGAGTGCTCTAGCTAGAGGGGATTGCTGCGGGTTCGAGTGCCCGAGTTAGAACGAATCGAGTGCTCTAGCTAGAGGGGATTGCTGGGGATTCGAGTGCTCTCGTTAGAACGGATCGAGTGCTCTAGCTAGGGGGGATTGCTGGGGATTCGAGTACCCGAGTTAGAACGGATCGAGTGCTCTAGCTAGGGGGGATTGCTGGGGATTCGAGTGCCCTCGTTAGAACGGATCGAGTGCTCTAGCTAGAGGGGATTGCTGGGGATTCGAGTGCCCTCGTTAGAACGGATTGAGTGCTCTAGCTAGAGGGGATTGCTGGGGATTCGAGTGCCCTAGTTAGAACGGATCGAGTGCTCTAGCTAGGGGGGATTGCTGGGGATTCGAGTACCCTAGTTAGAACGGATCGAGTGCTCTAGCTAGGGGGGATTGCTGGGGATTCGAGTGCCCTCGTTAGAACGGATCGAGTGCTCTAGCTAGAGGGGATTGCTGGGGATTCGAGTGCCCTCGTTAGAACGGATTGAGTGCTCTAGCTAGAGGGGATTGCTGGGGATTCGAGTGCCCTAGTTAGAACGGATTGAGTGCTCTAGCTAGGGGGGATTGCTGGGGATTCGAGTACCCTAGTTAGAACGGATCGAGTGCTCTAGCTAGGGGGGATTGCTGGGGATTCGAGTGCCCGAGTTAGAACGAACCGAGTGCTCTAGCTAGAGGGGATTGCTGGGGATTCGAGTACCCGAGTTATAGAGGGGATCTCGTCTGAGAAACTAGGTGCTTTGAAGCCGAGGAAAATAGTGCTTGAGATGAGACATACAACGACATTTATAGGTAAATACCTGGCTCCTGCTATAAATTTATCATGTCAACAAGGAAGAGACACCACAGCACCGACTACCCCTTCTAAGTCTAACATAGAAATCTATATTTCTATTTATTTCACTACACTTACACATACTCACAGCAATAAAAGTGTCTTCATCAGATACCGGCAAAGAACAAGATCGCTGACATACGTAAATAGGCGTAGTAAACATCGCGATAGAAGATACATTGTGAGAATTGTTCAACAAAAAGAAAAACAAAAACGCTGTCAATATGTCACGCATAAGGCAGCACCAGTCTCCGCAGGTAAAGCTCCATCATCACCGCGTCCGCCTTCTGTCACCTCAGCTTCGTTACTTTCATTTGCAACATCTGCCTGTACGCCTTGAGTCTGCGCTGGAGCATCTTCATTGGTGCAAAGGTTGCGCATCACTACAACAAGCCCTATAAGAGTCTGCAGTTCTGCCAGACCATAGAGATAGTAAATGCCATTTTTGTGATAGATGCTCGTCTCGTCAACCAGCAATGGGTCTCGCAGCCAGTCCGGGTATTCATCGTGCAGCAGATGCCACAGCCTGCTGCTGTTGAAGCGTTGATCCACTTGCGCCGTCGCGAAACCCAGCCCCAGAGCCACGAATTGAACCGCAACGAAGAGAGCGCAACCGTACCGCAGAACGCGCGCTCGGTTAGAGCTCAAAAGTAGCAAAACAATTTAATTACTTACTCATTTCATCTTTAGGTCATTTCTCAAGAACTTCCACCTAAGAAGGAAACAGCAAGAGATGACTCTTGTAGAAATGAATTCTTGAAATCAATTGTATTGCGTCTACTTAACTCGGAGTCGTAGGAGACGCCGCTCCCGCTTGCGCTCCTCTTTACTGCGAACGCTTTCGTCGGGAGGCGGCTCGATGACAAACTGAAAGCCGCATTCGCGACAGTGTGAAAAATTGCGTCGATTCTGAGCGCCTCCGACGGCTCGCCACTCGTCTAAACAATGTCTGTGGACCCACTTCGCTGTTCCTTTACAGAGGCAAGGCGCAATCATCTCCGATCCCTTACTTCTATCCACCTCCATTTCTGGTCGTGACGGTAGAGAAGTAGTAGGTAGTTCTACTCCGTTTACGACGGAGGCTGCTGCGTCACCTTCGATGCGCAGTCCGTCCACAAACGCAAAAGCATTGCCCCTCATCACCCCAGAAGAACTGGAGGTAGCACTCGTCTGGCGGTAGTTCCTGTCCAAAATATTGTTCATATCAGCATCGTCCTCCCCGCACATGCAGATACGACAGATTCGCGTCTCGCTCGTTGCAGCGACGTCCGATGTCGGCGAGGCCAAATGCACACCTTCGACTTGTAGGTGCGCCGGACCATCATCGACCTCTCCTTGAACAACAGACCCTACCTCGTCGCTCCTCGTCGTACTCGTAGTTCCTATAATTTCTTGCTCCTCTGGCCTTTTCCTGCTTGCCCCAAACGACGTCCTTCCCCGCTCCCATCGGAAGAGCATCGCTGCAATGCTGTCGTGGTTGTCGTAAAACGTCCTAGTACAACTACGGGCAAAAGTAGCAGGATATTCATCACTTCTTTTAGTGGTCCTCTCAGCCTCAGGAGTTGTCCAGGAGCTCACAATCCTTGCTCGGCTTTCTTCGTCAGGCGCAGGCAAAACTCTCGTTCCTGAGAAAGTTCTTCTTCTTAGCGGTTGGAAGTTGACCTCCCTAGCTCGCATATCTAGGGCTTCCCCCTTGAAGTAGAGGTCCTAGAAATGGGCATAGAGAGGTCAACTTCCACCCCATAGTCTTCTCTCCTGAAAGCGGGCTCCACCTCCTTCCATCTCGTGCAATTCTGGCACCTGGAGCAACGGAACGTACCGTGGCTCCACGTCATTGCACTTGGACATCAGAGTCAGAGCACTGCTTTCAGGAGAAGACATTCTTTAGTTGTGATGTTTAGGAGTTGTCTCTCTCCCGCACTACTTGTCTTCACTCTTAGTAAATTCTTCTAGTAAAAGTAGTTGTTCTAGTTTTTGCTCAAACTACAACCGCAATGCAAAATTATAGATACCATTTTACTCTATGAAATACGAAAAATTAAAATGTTCCGTTGAAACCTGTGACTACATAATATGAGGAGGTCATCAACAGCCTATTGACTGAGTAAACTCTGCAAAATCGCATTCCATAAAAGAAAAAGTTGTACACAATCACAAGCCTACGCTTCCAGTCATACAGCCAGGCTTTTTTGGGTTAGGCGAGTCGCTGGGAGTAGTGATGGCACTAAAGCAGCACTCGACTCTTGTTCAGAATTAGTGGTCTACACTCAAACCAGTACACTACTAGTGCGAGCTTTTTCTGCTCTATTCATTCGCACCGAGGATCAGTTACTGAGACCGAGCGGATGCTTTCAGAGGTAGGTTTAGTATTAGTTGGCGCGTTTTCCCTCAGTGTTCAGAGATCCCTCGGCTGGGAGCGCCTAGGGCAGGAGTAAAGGTCTAAGTGCGCAGTCGGGTGGGAAATTAGGAAACTCCAGCCCACTACCATTACGTTATTCTTACAATATCCTCATCTTGCGTATCTTTTGGCAACATAGTGAACACAGACAAGGATAATCAAATTTCGAACTTTTCCCAAAGACAACCTTCTCACCATGATTTTTTGCCACAGAGAGCGTCCACTCGACCGATGACATGCTGACAGTCAGAACCGAATTATCATGCCACCATCCCTGCCGAAAGTATAAATATGCTGAAAGTCTAGAGCTATGAAGGTTAAGGTCTTGTACACACGGACACGTTGAGGTAAGACAGATGAACAAACAGGAACTGCGAGACAGATCTTAGCGCTCGCTCATTGTCTCTTACTGGTCGAGCCATTATGGACTGCACAGCTATGCCCTATGTGCAATTTTCAGAACATTGCACTATACGAGAAACGGCCAAGCCTGCACCGAGGAATGTCGTTGCTCGGAGGAGACCTAGAAGATGCGTGATTCTTTGATCAATCATGGAAGCTCAACGTCTGTACAACTGCCTCGTGGGGATAGAGTCTAACAGAGAAATACTGCTTACTTGTCAATTAATTCACAACGATTAGGATAGGAGTGTCACATAACGACCACCTGGTGCATTTGTTTTCATCAACTTATGTGGGCAATTTTTAGAAATAAACCACCTGGTGCATTTGTTTTCATCAACTTATGTGGGCAATCAGAAAATAAACATGACCTTTGCGCATAGTGAAGTCGTGCAAATGAGAGTAAGCGACATCAAGATGCCACAAATAATATTCGAATACAAGTCTCCCTTGTTCGGATTAGAATTACTAGGATATCAATAGTAGAATACATTCTTGGATCCAACGCAAGATGATTGTATTTTTTCATCGACAAGAATGTCCTTTGCGCTCCTTATTTCATCGCCAAATTACAATAAATTTGTGGTTAGTACATTTATAAATCATCTTCCAATTCTTCTTTGATGTCGCTAATATCATATGCGTGTGCCTTTTTCCACAAGCAAAAAATCATTCTGACTCGTATCAAGACACTGCACCAAGGTACCCATCTACAAATTAGGAAACGTCACACGTCGAGGGCAGAACTGCGTACATACTACAATAACAATTAGGAAGTAGAACAACATTCAACAACAAGAATTTATCATAGGAAAATCAAAATAAACAAGACCCAAAGTGCGCCCGCTCAAAACGAAGAAACGTTGTCAAGTTACCTTGGACGATTCCAACAAATAGGTACGGAAGATTCATTTTTTGTCACCAACAAATAACTGTAGGTCGGAAAAGGGCATTTGCTCAAAGAGATACATGATAGATATGAATGATCGATGGAACAGTAACGTAAAATTCAATGATTGGTCTCGAACTGAAACGGCCTGTGTATGCAAGATTCCACATAAATATTTGTCGTATGGGACAAGAATTATAGATTAAGAGAGAGTACTCTAAATGCAAACATCTATGTTCCTGCTGTGTACACCTTATCTGTCAGGACTGTCACTCCGTAGGTACATCTCTGGCTCTTTGCCTGCGTGTTGTGTATGAATTCAATCATACACGATTTTGAATGGCATTTATGTCGTGAATATTGATATTGAAAATGGTCTCGCTAGTTGAACTATATAATGGGACGCCATGATGACGACGACTATCTCACTCTAACTATGCCTTCTATTTCACTTGCGCCGCTGTTTGTCTTGTGTTTTCAGTACCCCACCAGCGTGAAAACAGCATGACCTCATCTTTCTTCATATTACGAACATAAGGCTGCTCAAAAAAATCAAAGTCTAAGCAAGAAAACAGCGGTGTGAGGACAGTAAAAGTACTTTCACGACAACGGAGAGCGCTTATATATACTGTCTTAAGGAGACTTGACAAAACAAGGGTGTTAATCGCTTCACTTTTTCTTTCCTCCACCGCCGAAGAGCCTGCTGAAGAGACCGCCGCGTGCAGGACTTTCTCTCGGACTAGATTAGAGCTAAGAGCATTTCGCTTCTTCCCTTCATTTCTTCAGAACAATACCGATATTAATGAGGAACAGGAAACCCGGAGAAATGGCTTGTAGAAATGACATTGAGCCTTAACTAGACTTGCTTTCTGTGCTGTTCCTCCCACTCAATTTCGAGAGGAGTCCACCGGACAAAAGGCCTCCACTGGAAGTTTTGCGCTCTGGCGAAGCTCTCGGGTTCAACGATCCTCGTTCTTGCTTTGACTGGTGATCTGCTTCATGTCCTGGCGCAACACCCACAGCACCAACTACGGGTCCACCTAGATAGGCATGAGGATCATGAGGATCGGGAACAACTGGGTATCCAGCGACCACATGCGACCCTGGGTGGTGTGGTGGATAGTAATATCCTCGATGACCATTAGAGCTCGCGTTAACTCATCTTGCGATCCATCCTGGGAAACTCAAAATCCCCTTGAATAAAACCCTCTCTCCTAGGATGACTGCTCCTCTCAAGGTGGATTATGGATTAGGTAGGTGGATCGATTATGGACGATTAGGTGATGACTCGTCTTAAGACCCGGAGGCGGTACTACTGCATCCGGATGTTGCGGCACACATCCATTGTACATTGGCGTTGCTCCTGGTGGATAGGCTGCCGCAAATGGTGGGAACTCCTCTGCAACTCCGGGATGCGGCACGCATTAGAGGAAATCGTAATTCAGTCTGCTTTTCGTCTATTTTTAATTTCATTTTCATCCAGGTTGGTGCCCTAAAAATAGAGAGAGCTGTAAGCTCTCGATCATAGCGCCGCTTATATTACAAGTCTAGGTGAAACCATGTCCTGTAATCATGTCCTTAAATGTAATGACCGGAGAAGGCACCTCCCATTGGAGGATAAGCAAATGATCCTGCTCCTGCGCTTCGTTGCGCCGGCAAGGATGATCGCGCCCTCACTGCTGAGCCGCTTGAGCTCGACCCGCGGCTTGAACTCGAACCACCTGCCGCTGTCGACATGGAGTGCTCTTCATTGTTGTCACACCCGTCGCGGGGGAACGTGCCAGGTGGTGGCTGAGGGTACCCCGAACCCGGAACCGGATGGTGGTAACCTGAGCTCGGAGCCGAAGGGTGATAGCCGTGTGCCGGATGATGATACCCCGGATGAAGAGGACCCGCCTGGTGTGGATGGTACCCCGGATGAGGATACCCCATCGGACCGCTTGGGTGGTCATAATGATAACGATAACCATGATACGGGTCACTTCGCGTCCCGCGTGCAGACTGCGGCGCGCCGAGGTGGTGCTCCCTGATGTGAACCGTAGATAAACTAAGTATATTGATAGAAGATTCAGTTGCGAGAACGCAGTTGATAGCAGTTGATAGGAGCATACGAAGATATCGTCCTCTGCCGAACATGCGAGCAAAAGTAGATTATAAACTATGTGAATATAATTGATAGATTCAATTGACAAGAGAGAGCAACATGGATCTTTTCAAGACAACAGCTTCCTAGAACTTCGTTTGTAAAAAAATCCTCCATATCTAAATCAAGTACGTCGGGGAGCATGCGCTGAATCCTAGGGGCATGCACGCATCCCTCGGTGGTCCTCGCGCTGATTCTGCATAGTAAGGCGTCCTCTGCGAGATGCTTGTGAAATTGCTACTCACTTGACTCGTGGGGCTCGCTCGATCTACATCGCTGATCATCCGTCTGTCTGGTGGTATGAATTTATGTAAAGCCAGTGGCGGCACCATTGGCCGCCCTCCCGCTGACAAGTCTGCGCTGGTATAATTAGGGGTTTCAACTTGACCTATCACTCGGTTGCATATCTACGTATAGATTTCTAACTTTTCTTCTTGAAATGATCGTCATAGATATGCTCTCTCTTTTTAGATAGGTCATCAAGCTGCAACCCTTAATGTCAGTATTGAGACCAGCGACACTGCTGCCAGCTAAGCTGGCCCGACGAAAATTATTCTTCTTTTTCATTCTCTTCATGGCTGCCACGTCGAACTTGGTATCAAACAGTTTGTCCTGCTCCAAGCTACTTTTCACAGCAGCGGCACCGGCCGCTGCAGCTGGCTTTACTCCTCCAGTCGTGTCCTTCTGATGATCCGACAGTCTCTTGACTGGAGTGCCACCTAACAAGGTTCGCGAAGATGTAAGACTCTCTCCAGCTACCCCAGAATTCCTGCTCTCGCTGAATGGCGCCGTCGCATCGCCGAGAACAGAACTTTTTGAGCCACCACCTGATGTGACGCCACTAGAGGATGCAGTTTCCTTGCTCGTGTTGCACGCAGATGAAGCTCCGTCGGAACCATCGCGGGTGGACTCTTTGCTCGCTGTCAAACAGCCTTCCTCTCCCATTGCAAAGGTGTGCCTTTTCGGCGCCATATTAATGTCCACCTCTGACCCAGCAATGGGCGCACCCTCGAGAAACTGCGGATGAAGATCAAAAGTTGTTCCGGTCGTCGACAGACAACCAATGGGGTGTTTCTTGGAGATGATGCCTCCCGATGGTGCGGACGACTCAAACGTTGTACTACTCCGGTCTTTCGTCGGAGGCGCGTCAGCAAAAGCAGCACCGTTTGCTTCCTCAGGATTATTTGCATGATCGTCGTCCTCCTCTTCTTCCCGCCTCGCAGTGTAGCTCCCACGATGTGTGGTGACGACGCCCTGCCGGTCCCGCAAGTGTACACCCATTTCTTCGAGCGTTTGGCCGGGCCACGACTCTGAAGGACTCTGCTCGGCGGTCGGTGCATCGCCAGGCGTGACACTGGAGACGAAGGAGAAACTCAACAGTTCCCCAGGAGGCAGGCTATCCCGACTGTCCCTTGGTGTTAGAGCTACCGCGTCGCGTCCTTGAGTCCATCCCTGAGCCCTTTTTCCACTTGAAAAAGAAGCCAGGGATGGATCTGGGCATGCTTCAGCGGTAGCTGCCTTAATGGTGGCGTACTGCGGCTATCGCGTTGCACGGATCGCCGATTTTCGGTCAAATAGTGCTGTTCAATGACCTTGAAGCGTTTTTCCATCTCTTGTATCATCTCCCACCGTTCCTGTGTAATGAGCACGCCGTCGCCAGTCGCAATTGCGCCGCTCTCGTCCGCAAGAATTAAAGCATGAAAAACTCGTTAAAAGTACCGGTTCGTGATCAAGGGCACAACGGAATGATAGAGAGGAAAAGCGAAAAATAATAAGCTAACTTACTAAAACTAAAACATTCAGAACTATGTCTAACTCCATGGAGAATACTTACTCAGCATCAAATTGTCGCTCCTTTTCGTCTAGTAGTCTCAATGAATCCACCATCGAAGCCTTAAGGCAGATATTCTGCCATTCGGGGTAGCACCTAGAGCTGTGCTGTTTCTCTTTGCGCGCATGCGACCCCGCAAGCGGCGGATGTATTTGCGTGCTGGCTTCACGAGGAGCGCGAACCTGCACATGTGCATGATAAGCTTGTGAGTGCGCATGCGCTTTTCCAATTGCTCCACCTTTCGTGCCCGCGCTCGGAGCAGGGCTCGCTTGAATTTCCCGGTAGCGCGCGCGACGCCGCGGAATATCGCAGGCCAGCTCTTTTTGGAGGTTCTACGATGCTCCACGAATCTGCGGAAAACTGTCGACAGTAAGGCGTGTCGGAAAAAGAGCGAAAGAAGCTTCTTTGTTCGTAACCTGCGCCGCAGCTTCTGCAACACTGACATGCGCGATGCGTGGCTGTCTTCCCCCTTTTGGATCGTCGCGCGTTTCTGCAAAAGCCCAAATTCACGCACAGTGAAAACCTTCGAGCGGCCTCCTGGCGCGACGCAACCGGACAGCATTCGGCGCCTCAGAAGTACAATCGCGTGGAAGAAAGCCATGTTTCCGTCCACCAACTTGCGCTGCTCGCGACGTCTCTTCGCTCTTCTATCCCGCACTGCCCTAGACAGGAACCGCGATAGACGCACATAGTTGCAGACTCCTGCCCAAAGCTCGAGTCTCCGGCGCACGCGCTCCCGCTCCCGCGTCACCCAGCGCCGCAGGAAGCGGCATAGAGTCGGGTACAGCCGAAATGCGATGTCGACATTTCGCCGACACGCGATTCTGCGTCTTGCTTGTGTTAACAGGCGGACAAATCCGCGTGCGCATCGCCACGCCTGCTGCATCTTGCGAATGCAACTCTCGATACGCAAGTCGCGCAAACGTTTGCGCACGTGCTCGCACCACCTGTGAATGCGCACGTAGTTCCTGGCTGCAATCTTGAGACCCCGCACGTGCTTCGCGATGCGGACCTCCTTCAGAAATTTGGGCAGAAACAGACACAGCGTGACGGTGTGAAAGCAACGCCGCACTTTCTTGGCGCGGACTAGGCGCCGCAGGTTCTGCAAAATGTTGTCTGGAATGCCGCCGCCGTTGTCGGTGAGCTCGTCCACTAGTGCGAGGCACCCACTTTTGAGAAACAGGCGACTCGACCCGATCGCGTACTCGGTTTTAGGGATTTCTAGGGAAGCCATTAGCGCTACGATAAAGATTAAGGGGTTCTCCAATTGCTGCAGTTCTGCGGGCAAACTCGGCTCGAAGCGACGGTACAGAGCAGTGTAGTCGCAGCGATGCGGGTAGCCTTCGTGCATGATTTTCACCAAGTCAACGGACCCAGATTGGAGCATCTGATCTAGCAAGGCGCCGCCTTCCCACTTGCCCGGTGCCTGCGAGAGGTTCGGCTTGAATGTGCGGATGTAGTGGAGATTGCAGCCCGCAAGCGTATCCAAGAGCGCGTCCAGATCGACCTGGTACCTGAGGATTCAATCAAAATCAAAAACTAATTGCTTGATTAAACTGAAGATCCTGGGTCGTCAGGGAGAAAGTAACACGTCGGAAGAGCATATTGAGCCTGTTGGTCACCTTATGATGATGATGATGATGATGATGATGATGATGATGATGTTGACCCGCTTGGAATCTCAGCATAGTTATTCTCTTCTAAGTTTTGTAGTACTTCGCCGCCACGCTAGTCTGGTCACCATCCCCCTCGCCTGTGAGCTTGGCGATGACTGAGTGCTGAGACTCTGCGATCAGCGTCTCGCACTCCTCCGAGAGGACACTATTATTCTTGTCTAGCCATCCGTCTGTGGAGTAGCTCACCTCTCCTGCATAGTGTGTAACCACGAAAGCTAGTGCGGCATCTGAATTTGAATGATGACACAATGCGAGGACGTGATCGAAGCCCAAAAAAATTCTGTAGATTTACTACTTTTACCCTATGCATATACATAGATAGAAGATGACTTGAATCTCCTCGGCTTCGGCAAAATGCGTAAGAACATAGATAACCATACCCTCAACTACTTACATAAACATTGCTACAACATAACCCCTGCTTCTTCAGTTTTTCCTGTACCTAATTCGTGATTTCCTCCGGCTCCGGGCTTGCCCTTTGCTCTGCCTCCTCGCTTCAGCTGTCGCATGTAGTCGCCGCTCTTTTTGATCACGTCTGATGTGAACTGCTTGTCATTCGTCATCGAGCTGTTTTTCAACGCTCTGCAGCCGTGATCATGCAGTAGATCCAGCGTGTCACCGATGGCGCCGAGCAGGTCCTCCGCAGAAGTCATTTCTATTGGAATTTTCGGCAAGCCTTCGCTTTCATAAGTGTTCTGCTCCGCGACAATCACACGTTCTCGGAAGAACTCCTGCAAACGCTCGTTAGCAAGGTTAATGCACAGCTGTTCGAAGCTGTTCGTGCGTAGCTGCTCAAAACCATAGATGTCCAGAATACCTTGTTAGATTGCGTGTCAGAGAGTTTAAGTTGAATGATTAGAGTTTGCAACTACTGGTTTGGAGAACTCGAATCAGCAAGCACGTGAAGCGCATTCTTGGTACTTCTCTTCAGAGGTGATGAATACTGAGCTGGGTATATCAGATGGAGCTCATGATTGATACTGTCCGTTGCCTTAGTCGATCTGCCAACCAAATTTTCTCGTTTGCATACAACCTACATTTTCACTACAATTTTTTGAACAAGTCACGCTCAGGATCTGATGGGTCTGATGTGAACTCCTGTAATGCAGATCGATGGTGATCACACTAGTACCAATGTGCCGTCTCGAGCTCCCTGAGCCACCTTCGTCTCCGCCATCGCGTGATTGGCCTGCAACCATCAAGGACGCGTTTATCTTCTCCACAACGTGGTCGAAAAGTCGCTTGTACAGCATTTTCGTCAAGGCCTGTTGTGCAGCCTTCGCCTGCTGCTGAGTTCGATTCTTGCGGATCGTGCTCCCGCGAATTGTCACTGCCTTACTACACAAAGCCGCACACAGCTTTTCGGACGCCATACCCAGGAGCCTCGCTGCATGTTGATGAGCATGAGCAGTGGCCGTCGACTTCGCAACTTGCACTCCCTGCCCATCAGCCGCATCCTCAAACTCTAACTCGAAAAGGTGAATCTGTTCGTTTTATAGTATACCTCATCTCTTTGCATTTATCGACGAAAACGAGGAGAGGGAGAGCATTCAATGTCTATAATGAAATTCCGTTTCCCTTCTTCAAGACAGAAAGCGAAATTAGCTGTTTTCTGCAAAATAACAAGTATGTCAGGGAGGAAACTACCAATCCCGCGATCGTCTCCAGAATTGCGTCGATTCCCTCCTCATTCAAGCGCATAATATGCAGTCCCTCTCGAAAAGCTTTGAAGTTTTCCATTTCTTCTTTGCCCCGACTTGGCACATTTTTTCGTACGTCATCCTCGCTTCCGTACGCTATGATGTATCTTTTTTGCTTCGTCTCCTTTCCTGCGCCTCCACTGCGCTCCAAACCAAGTGTCTCTAGCAGCGCCGCTGGTGCACCGGACAAGAGCTCGTAGAAAATGTGGTAGCTTCTTTCGCCTGGACCAAATTTCGCTACTCGGGACGATTCCAATAGGTACGTCCGAATTTCCCCTCCCACCAAGTCGCCGCGGGCGTTGAAAGCTAAGTGACTGAATTTTCCGAAGCGGCTCGAGTTGTTATTGCGAATGGTCGTCGCGTTGCCCAACGATTCCAGAATTGGCGTCGCACTGCGCAGAATCATGTTATCGAGTGTGTCGGTTTCACTCTGCTGCTCGCGCTTTCCAGACGCATTCTCGACCTGTCGTGTGAAGAGGGCATTATCTACTACAGAATGAATATAGTATTAACAAAAAATAAATCACTTGTTCTGGGCAGCACTGAGCAGCACTGGCTGAATTGGACCTCAACTGAGTAAGAGTCAAATATCACTCGTTTCTAGACACCAAAGATGGAAATACCAAGAAGCCCATGACAATCTTCGCTGTCTGCGTTTTTCCTGCTCCGCTTTCTCCGGAGATCAAGATAGCCTGATCTTGTCGGTCGTGGACAAGCTTTCTGTATGCTAAGTCACCTATGGCATACGGATGCGGAGGCTGCGCGTGTAGTGATGGAAGGCGCCGATACTTTTTCTTATGCGCATCTGTGTAGTACATCTGACCCACATCTTTGTAGGGATTCACCGCAAATAGCACCGTCGAAGTGTAGGTGTAAATCTGGTCCTTCGTGTATCTGAGTAGAGGATAAGCAGCAATGAACAGCCATTATCTGTCGTAATGACCGCTCTCACTACATCTACATCAGTGAATCGATCCCTTCACTAGTACCAGAACTAGAAGTTAGAGTGCCTGTGCCTCTTTTCAATTTTAGGAATAATCCGATCATCTTTTCATCTCACAAAGTAAGGAAGTAGTAGTACCGCAGACGCAGATTCTCTAGGATCCCAGCGTCATGCAAATGATGCAGACCCGCACAGTCATCGAACGTTGCCTCTGCGGTATCTGCATTTGCATTCCGAGGTCGCAGAAGTGTCGCATTAGCTATTGTTCTCGTTTCGACATACGACTTCTTTCCGCCGCCTCCGCTTCTATCACCTCCACCGGCGCCAGGCTTTCGTCCCGCCGCGCCGCTTCTTCCATTGCTCACACCAGCTTGCTCAGCTGCACGGAGAAGCCCAACAGAGAGCTCCGTCTCTTTGCCGGATTTCACGGCATCGAAATTTATCACTTCACCAGGCAGAAATCCGGCAATAGCGTCCGATACCCAGACAGCTGCGGATTCAAGCGTTTCCGCAGATGGACCAGCGTCAGTGCTAACTCCGTCACCCTCATCAGACGCCATTTTGATACAACAGAGATACTTACAGCTCAGCACATACAGACTCTGATCTTGCCCCCTCGCTCGACATTTACCATAATCCTAGCTGTCCTACACCTACTACAGTTACAGATTCATATCTACACCGATCAATGGTGTCTTCATGCGCATCAATCTTCTATCCTACTTTCTTCTAAAATCATCTCTAGACATAGCGACATCTTCACCGCGTCGTATCTATTCATTGATGTCGAATTTCACACAAGACCTCGAAGACTACTATCATTTTTTGTGTTCCTTGCAAGAGTAGAAGGTGGATACAATTACAAGCATTCGATTTCGACCTACAACTACTTCTACTTTTAGTTTGTTTCACAGATTACTTATCTTTTTCGCGCCCGCGTCAGCCTCGTTCTTGTTTTTCGCTCTCCATGCTTTGGATATCGCTTGTTGAAAGGCGCTAAGCAATTCACGACGGTCGTAGCATAAGTGACCAGTCGCCCGAACACGTTGGTTTATCGAGATCGAAAATGCGACGTCGAGCATGGCAAGTAAGGCAACCAACATTGCAATCTTCGACTTGACGACGAAGAATCGAAAAACATTTTCTAGATGTCACCCTTGAAAACAGCAGATACTCATATTAGGAATGACATTTTGCTTTGCAAGATAAGAATCAAGTACTTATGAATTCACGGAGTTGTACAGAAGAGGAGGGTTTCCTCTGCTTAGAATCACGGGGCCGCAACATGAGTTGTACGAGGATGTCATGTGTTCGCTCCGTGTTGCGATCCTTACTCGAGGAGAAGTGGCAAAAAGTTGTAACAAGGACTCCTACTTCTTGTTTCATCCTCTAGCCCCAGGGACGACTTTTCACACCCTTATTCCACGACTTTCCAAATCCTTTAGCGCCTGCCTTTCTTTCGTCGCTTGGCACCGCCTCCTGAGCCTTTGGAATTAAACCCAAGTTCGTTCGCTAGTTGGGCAGCAGCCTCGCGATCCGCGACATCGGCTCTATCAGCCTGCAGGTCGAAGTCTACGAGTGTGCCCGCCACCACGAAGCCCTGTACCAGTGGTAGGGCGGAGTCCATCAGAGGATGCGTCCGCATGGGCAACACTTGCCATTCACGAGTGAAATACTCATGCATCTTCACACACGTCCACTGCTTTCGAATGCTCTCGCCAGTTGCATCTACTTCTGAGGCATTGCTGACAAAAGAAAGTCGCATTCGGGACTGAAGCTCCGCCAAAGCCTGAAATTGGCTGCTGTAGACAGCCAAAACGCCAGACCCACGCAAGTACTTCTCCGCCAGTCTCAGGATTCGTTGAGTCATGCTAGAGGAGCTGTCGACACCAGTCGATGTAGAGGAAGGACTGATCATGTCTTGTTCTTGATCGTATTGATTGGGGTTTAAGGCGACGATGAAAACGTCGAATTTCTCTGCAGTAAAATCGTCAACCAGCTTCTGTCTGGCGATACATCGTTTAAGGCGGTCCTCGAACTTCGGATTTGTAGCGTTGTTCAAGCAATCTTCCTTAGTCGGTAATGCCACGAAATCCGATATCAAACTCTCATTTGAGGTTTTCGCTCTCGAAGTAGATGTAGTTGTAGCAGATGCTGCAGCAACCTTGTCAGTTATATTTTCCTGTACTTCATCATCTTGTTCCAATCGTTCCGCGAAGTCGAATGGTAAGACGCGTGGGAGCGGGCAGTTCAGCTGTTCACAAGCGTTGCTTGGAGCACCGACGTTGTTGTGGATCCGGAAGATGTGTCCGCTCGCCATCTCCGTGGATGCCGTTACGGTGGCATGTTCGTTAGGGCCATGCATGCGGTAGTGCACGGCACCGCTGAGAAGACCGCCGACCTCGTCGTAGACGAGGACACGCTGGTGTCCCGGTGCAGACGACGTCGCACTTTTGACGACAGGATCTCCAGTCGTGCCGACCATGGTAGAGGTAGAAGCTTGTTCAGCTTTACCATCTTCAACCACAACTTTATGCTCAGCGTCTTCGTTTTGCTGACTTCGTTTGCGACTTTTCTGTTTTGTGTATTCCTGCCCGAAGCCCCTCCAGAAGTGTCGCGGAGCCGGGGTCTGGTTCTTTATCATGGTGGTGACCACATCGGAGGGCGTGGTAATCTTCGAGGAGGTTTCTGTCGCTGTACTACTAGGCATCGCTTGATGTTGATGACCGAAAACATTTCCATGCCACAAGAGGCCGCTGAGTACTTCGAATTTCATGTAGCCAACTTTGCTCGCTTTCTCTTTCTGGTAGTACTCGCACAGCACTGTTGGTGTGACCTGCAAAAGAGTCACTTGGTGGAGGTACTTCTTCTGCTTGCGGGCAATGTACTTGGCTTGGGAAAACATCGTTTTCTCGCCGAAGGTGGCACTAGCGCCCGCAATGCGTCGGATCAGATCTTCACCGCCCAATCCCTCTTCTTCTTTGAGCAATGCGATTTCGGCCTGAGAAAGCGTCTGCGCACTGCCATCCTGCGCAAACCATTGGTTTGTCTTGCCCTCTTGCAACAAAGACTGTTCCTTCTCTACTTCGCCATCCGCCATAACGCCCAACACGGTGCGCTCTGTGCGCAGCCACTGCAGCTTCGGCTTTGCGCCGGCGCCCTTTTTACCAGAACCTTTTTTGCTCTTCTTACCAGAACCTGTTTCTTCACTCTCCATGGCCACGACAGACGTTTCTGTAGTCGTATTACAGTTCGCAGTTGCAATATCAGATGTAGCTGCCTTTTCGTTGTGGTTGACTTCGCCATTTGCATCTGCTTCGTCGAGTTCCTTGTGCGTGATTGTGGCACCATACGGCAGAGCCAACAGAGTCTCAACATCGATTTGCGGATGTTTTCCGAATCTGATTGTCGCTTTGGGTAACAATTGCACCACTTTCATGTCCCCCTGCAGGTCGCGCAAGCAGACATACTCATTGATTGCCGGGCGCACGCGTCGCTCCGCGACGCTGAGAGCCGTGGCACTGTGCTGCGTGCTTTCGCTCTTGATTGTCATTTTCGCACTGACTTCTACAGATCGATGAATGTTTGGATTGGGTACTAAACTATTAATATAGAGTGATTGCTGATGATTCCTTTAGAAGGCACGTGGAATTCTTCGCGAAGAGGAATCGAGCATAAGGAAAAAGACACCTCCTAAGGATGATAATGCATAAAAGCACATACTCCTGTATCAAGAAGACAAAGACGGCGCCGACTTGAAGAATCCAAAAGAGTGCTTGTACTTCCACTACGACGTTGATACCAGTGCTACCCACCGCCACGGCCACCATGGATAAATCATACTTCTAGTATAAGCTTGGGCATTGATCACGACGGTCATGAAAAGTCGAAATTTGATGACCCTTGTTAGCAGGGAACAGAAGACAAAAGATCTTCCACAACTGACTGCTTCGGAGCTACTTCAGAACTGGTGACATCTGCATCTACATTTCGGACTACGTGACGGGTGGGATCTATTATACAAGGCACTTGTGGTTGTGATCTTGTTTCTGGATCGATCTTCAGTTCTCTTGATCTTTGAGAATGTTCTTGACTTACACTAGGAGTAGTCTGAACGGTTTTCACGGACAGAAATAGGTTCACAGGTGGTCACGTTCTTGAATCCCTCGTCCTAGATGAACTAGAAGGCGACAGCAGCCAAATCAATATTTACGAATATGTAGAGATGCTAGTGTGGATCTTAAATGTATGATCTTTGAGCTTTTTTCTAAAGTAGCAAACGAGATCTTCTACGCACAGAGTTTTCATAACCGAACAAGACCTACTGAACACACGACAGTCAAAGAATGGCCAGAAGTCTACAATCAGTCTTGCTCCTGTCTCGTTTTGAGCGCATTAGATAAAAACATCGGCAAAAAGTATGTCTCGAAGCAAGGAGCTTGGGCTTGTTTTGTTCACAGCCTTAATCTCGCAATATGTGAAGATAACGATGAGTAGTAGGTAGAAGAGGTTGTAGGTAGTTCACTTCTCTCAGACGAGAAAATATTTCCAGATGAGATTATCTCGTAGCTTTGCCTGGAAGAACTACCCTTTTATCCTCCACACGCCAGTGCTCGGAGCACACGCGAGTCAAAAAAGCGTGATTGTGACTAACGATCAGGACCGCGCCGCGGAAAAACTTCAGTGCCCGCTCCAAGGCGTCTAGTGTTTCTTGATCGATGTAGTTTGTAGGTTCGTCAAGAAACAAGCAATGCGGCTTGATCCACATGGATGCTGCAAGTAAGAGCCGACTCTTCTGACCCATAGAGAATGAGCCCAGTTGACGCCGCTCCACCATGTCCTCATCGAATCTGGACGAAGAAATAAAAAAAGTTAACAAGAATGAATACAGAGAGGGCGGGGATAGAATAAGTAGGAAGCAGATCGCTTAGACTGATCTTCGATACTACCATGATTTTCACCATAATATTTTATTTAATCCAAATATTATTAACGAGGAGGACTAATAGAAAAAGTAAACCAGAATTATAATACCCAAAATTCTCGAAGTGCTTGAGTATTTCCCGATTACTGAGTGGCCGTTGGTCATTTCCCGCTGCCACCGCTTGCTGTCGCTCATCGTAGGCCCGACATATATTCTCAACTCCCATTTCTCTCAGCTTCGAGAGAGGCTCGAATGTGTTCTGCTTTGAATCCGGCAGTTCCTCCCACATGATCTGGTACGGAGAAAAATGACCAAGATATTTTTGGAACGAAGGCGTTTCACAACATGTGAGATGAAGGACAAAAAAGGGTTTGAAACTCAAAGGGTATTACCTGAGTTCCTGTGTGGTTGAAAGGTGAACCACAGTTTTTCCTTGACTAGGTAAAGGTTTTAGTATCTATCAGTGACAGTGTTGAAGATTTTTGTTTCATTTCTACTTGAGCCTGGTATCATCAAAAACAAAAAGCAAGACAAGAAAGGATCACGGAGGAGCAATCTGATTTAGATTGGGTACGTCATATATGTTTTAGGGCTGACCGCCCCCCCCCCTGTGGTGTGGTCTGTGGTGGCGCGCGCGCGCTCTTCTCATTATAATTAAGAGTACCTCGTAGTAGAATTCTTTCCCTCGCTTTTGACGACCAGCAATATCTCTTACGCGCTTGCCGTATTTCCCCAATTTCCGTGCCATCTCATCTACGTGGGCCTGCTCCTCGGGTGTCAACGTTAGCAATCGCTTTTGCAACTCCTCGTCGTAGCCGTTTTTGAACCGCTTCTGCATGTATACTAGTGGTGCACAGACTGCAAACTCCTGCAAGTGGAAGGTGTGGTGCTGCGCAATGTACGCGAGACGTAAGTTACGATGCTTGTACATCACCGGCTCAGCGCCAGTGGCTGACTTTAGCTCTAGATCTGGAGAGAGCTCACCTGATAACAGGCCCAAAAGTGTAGACTTTCCTGCACCGTTGGCGCCCTCAAGCGCTACGCGGGAAGCGAGTGTTAGTCGACACGAAATGTCCTCAAGCACTAGAGGCGCTCCCTCGTTGTAGCGAAAACTGTTGTAGTTTGCATGATATTCTAAGAATGAAACTTGCTTGGAAAACAAGGGTGAATGCAAACAAAGACAAGAATTCATGTAAGCAACAGCAACGTACATATGTACTAGACACTCGAGACTACCACTGCATGCCGAGAAAGTGGTGTATCCATGAGCTCAAGCAAGAAAAGAAGAAGCATATGATTAGGTGTACTTGATATTTTTGAGCTCCAGTATTGATTTTTTGTCGTTCGCGATGCCGTCTAGTTTTCCCGGAATCGGAAATGAGAGCTTGTCCGGTCCACCCACAGGCGCGCAACTTACCCATGCCTTTGCATCTTCCTCCTTCGTTTTCTCGGGGTTGCCCTTTGTACCTAAGGTGTCGTCCAAATTCAGGAAGGCCAAGCTGTCCTCCACTTGCGACCGTTCAGCATCCAGGGCCGCTTTCTTCGCTGCCGCAAAACTACTGGAGCTGCCTCCAAACAGCTCATTTTGAAGTTTCTCATCTTGGTCGTCTTTGTTTTGGTCTTCGTTACGCGGTGTGGAGGATCCCCCCGCATGGGCCATCGTCTGCAGCAGGTCGCTGGCTTCGCGCTCCGACACGCCGAGTGCCTGTCGAAACGAGGCAAAGCCTCCGTTGTAGTAAGTTAACTGCTGGTTCTCGAAGTGGATCACGTCTGTGCACACTTTATCCAAAAATTCTGCGTCGTGGCTTACAATCAGCACCGCAGTCCTGCTATTGCGTGCTAGTGTCGCTGTCAAATACGAGGAGAGCCATCGAACCGCGTTTACGTCCAAGTGATTGGTCGGTTCATCCAACAGAAGGAGGTCCGGCGCCGCGCACTCGATCTTACCCACAGCAAGGCTCAAGCGCATGCGCCAGCCTCCGGAGAGTTCTGAAACACCTGCATCCCAGGATGTTCGCATGCGCGAGTCCTCCTCAATCTCGCTAGTCGTAGGCATTTCTGACATAGCGGGGTCCCCGAATCCCACCATCTCCAGAGCATTACGCACAATCTGAGGAGTTTTTTGTGGACACGGGTTGTTTTCCATTATGCACCTATCACGTATCCATTGTTCATGAATAGAAACCTGACTGTGCCGCTCATAGTACCACACGATCTATGGGAAAACGAAGTCTGATTCGAAACAAACAAATAGAAAGCAAACAAGAATAGTTGCAATAGTTATTGATGTACATCTATAAGAAGAACATCCTCACAACATCACCATGCAAAATAGTACTATGGTATAAGAAGAACATTATCACAACATCACCATGCAAAATAGTAGTTCTGATTTCTACCTCCATTCCTCCCATATCGATTTCTTCTCTGCCGGTTTTTTTCAAAGCTGCTACTGCGTATTCGTACACGCTGGCTTTGGAAGTTGCCACTGAAGCTTGCACCGTGACTATTTTGAATTTTCCTAGAGGTAAATCCGCTATTTTTCCCGATGCAATCATGGTCAGCAACGTCGTTTTTCCTGCTCCGTTCTTACCCACTATGCCATACCGATGCCCCTTGCGCAGCTCTAACAGCGCTGACTTGAGCAACAACTTTCCGCCGCCATACAGTAGCATCAAATCCGGTACCCGGCAAACGAAATCTGACAAATCCACAGTATCATTTTGATTCTTCTGTTGCAGTGGTTGGTGCCCATTCGCTCTAGGCGACGTCGATGAAGTGGATGGTGTGGCGCCAGCCATCAACTTCGCTAGACTTTGATCCGCAAAGCCGTCACCAGGAGGTGCCTCTGCACTCGCTTTATCTTTCGCACCACCAGTTGTAGATGCTGCTCCAGCTTCGATTGTAGTCGCACTAGCACCTCCTTCATCAGAACCGCCATCTGCTGTTGCACCACTGTCTCCACCTGCTGCAATACTAGTATTAGTATTATTTTCCGTCCTGCCATCTCCGCCAAGGACTGCGCCCCCACCCGCAACCAAGGAGTCGATGTTTCCATTCAACTGAACTGCGGTCTTGCATAATGTGCTAAGCTTTTTCAAAAAGGATTCGGCTTCCTGCATACCCGACTCCTCCAGGATGTCGCGGATAGACTCGACCAGTTCCTCTTCTAAGCTTGCTACGTCCGCATTCATCGCTATCTGCACAGAGACGTCTTTGGCATAGTCCGCAATGTCCTCCGGAATGGAAACATCCCGAGCACAGCACTCGAACAAGCGTTCGATTGTGTCCTCAGCTAAATTCAACGGCGTCATCTTTTTATGAGAAGTCTGTCTATCTTGCTGGAAGAAGTGTATGTGTGGATTGAATTTGACTATTCTATTAAAATCATTAATCCATAACCAGTGTAGTAGCTAGAAGAAAGTATAAATAGGATCTTCTTTCAAGTAAAAAAAGTCACGGAATAAGATATTCACGTCAAAAATTTGGAATACTTGCTTAATCAAAGGAAGATTCGGATGGTCTAGGTGATGGAATAGGATATTCACGTAAAACAAGTCACGAAGGACGATGACAAGAACGGAGGAATATTGTCGGTGATACCTATCATCTCTTTTCAGCGACCACTGACGAACTTCATGAAAACGTGGAAAGCCAAACTCATTGTACTTAACCAAAAAACCTTAGCGAAGTTCACTCTCTCAAATAAAATTCAGCATCTTTTGACTTGCAACATTTGAAAACAGGTTGCTCGGTTCTTCAACTCAGGAGCTTTAGGAGATCAGCCATCCATCCCGCCAACATCTTGATTTTCCACCAGAGGGGAGGACGAATCGTATTCACAAGATTGAGAGAGACATCAGATGATCGATGGTTTTGTACCCGCAGGTGGTCTGCTAAAAATTCATACCTCCAGTCCTGGAAGGTTAATTTCCACTCAGCAAGAACTCTGCATCTTTGGGTTCGCTGCTTTTTTAGGTGGAACTTCTCGATGTTGCCACCAAACCACCTTGAGAGCGTCGCTCGTCGCTTAATGGATAGCATGGGATCAACATCAAGTCTAAGGTCACGAGATTGAAGATACATAGTTCAAATGTCATGCAGAAATGTGAGCACCTGACTCAGCAGAAGATTTAATTTTGCGGACTGGGAAGGTTTTCAAGTCCAATTGGCAAGTTCTAGAACTCCAGGAGGGATCCTCCTTTGGTGTATCTATGAATCGAATCGCGTTCGCTTGCAAAAAATGATCTCTTTGATCATCTTCATCTTCGTCGTGGTCGTCCATGTAAGTCAAATCCATCTATACTCGTCGTAGTTCTCGAGATGGAATAGGGAGAATTCACACAACATCAGTCGTCGGTCTATTATACTAGTGAGTGACTACATTCTTGAGGCTTGAAAGAATTTGTCGTGATCGTGAATTACAATCGAGCAGTCAAGAAGCACAAAACAGATCGCCTTCGTCTACGAGCTATCTACTTAATTAAGAATGAATATCAATATCACTTGGCATCTTCTTTTAACACCATACACATGATGAATTTTTGTTGATGTTGTCTTACTAGTCGTGGTCATGCTCATACTCGTTCAAAGCGACTATCCGGTCCCTCGCCTCTGGTGCTAATGCCAGAATCGACCTACTCGTAGTAGCATCCGAAGACCATACCCACCGCAAACATAGTGGGGCTCTTGAATGAAAAGCTCGCCCAATTATCCACGTTTACATCCCACAGGCACTTTGATACTACTCGCATGCCCTGTCCTGCTGCTTCACCAATCACTACCTGCAGTTTCGAGAATGCGAAAGAGATGACCTCCAGCGCGAGAATGGTAGGTAAAGAGGAATGACACCACATGTTGTGACACCACCGTCAACAAGCATTTTGAGTCCTCCAAAAATGCGATGAATTAGATACTAACATGAACAAGATGGGTATCCAAATAACTAGACGGACCTGGCATATTATCTTGTGTCTTGGAATTTCCCCGTGTTGCTTCACCGCCGCTTTGATTTCGTTACAGAGCTCAAGTGTCCATGTCTTGGCCTGATCCGGATCGTACTCCCTATGGATGAGGGAAGGTAGCGGTCGAATGGAGAAGATCAAGATTCAGATTGCTAATAAGCCAAATATTATAAGTTTAAGTACTAAAAAGTAGTGCGTAAGTTGTAGTACATCATCTTCGAAAATCACAAAGACAGATCATCTTCTTGCATGTTGTTCTTCATCTACTTAGCAATCAAAGTTATATTAAATACCTCTCCGAGAGTTTATCTGTCATCACTTTATCGATAATTTCTGTTACTCGTGATGGCAAAAATTTTTGTTCGGGCTTCGGTTCCATCTGGTACGTGTTCTCCCACACGTGGATTTGATGCTGCTCCATCTTGACAAAATTATGGGGCCCAAGGCAGCCAAAATAATAATTAGTAAGATCAAACTGCTTTTTAGACTACTTGTGTTGGAACCGGAGAAGTAGATGACCACGATCTACCAGGTGGTGCTCGCAGACGACGAGAAAAATTGATGTACTTTTTGAGGGATGCGAGAACAATATATCTGACTTGGTTTGTTCAACTTCAACATCAATAGAAAGAAAGTAGACGTTCACGATGGCAAGATACTTCTCGATGTTTTATCATGTCTCAACATCTTCTCATTCTGCAGAATCAATCACCGACACGTGAAACACTATGGATGACCAGCATGCCCTCTCAGGAATCGTCAATGTAACGACGAAATGCAAACGCAAACGTAAGCCTTGCTCACTCCATAACTTTTCTCTACAACCCTCAATGGCCACCCTCCATGTCTCCAACAAGTTAGTTCCCTCCTACTACCTCGAGGACGATTGACCAGTCACCTCACGACTCAGAAGCACAAAAGGCGCTTCGAGAGCGAGGTAACATTTCCGGCGAGGGAGAACACCTCTCGTGCTATACTAGATGTACAGCTCGAGGTACTCAGCACACATCACATAGAGATGAAAAGATGTTATTATAATGCTGAGCAAATACTTATAATGCGAAACTAAAGATGATATTCGCGCCAGCGAAAACAGCGAGGAATATCTTCCGCGTTCTATAGTTCGCAGACAATACTTTCAGGCCACACTCTATTCGCAAAGCGTTCTGATTCTGTAGACAATGGAAACAAAATGAATAGCAAATGACATGCACGACTCCTTTGACCTAGTACCAGGATGAAAACATCTACTTATCGACAGTTCTACTGCAGGTTCTCAAAATCATCACAGACCGTCGCCTATATCGGTTCGATCGGGTCGGAAGGGGCGGCGAAAGTCGTAATTGTGACTGTTGCTACTCAAGAACAACGACGTTGGTACTGACTCTGAGGCGCGAACACTCGTTGTACTAGTAGAGAAGTCCACGACAAGGGGATCCGCATCATGACCTCCGCCATCGTAATCGGGGCTCCCCGCCACCTCTTTCCCAGGCGGCGGTCGCACCCTCTCCCTCATTGAGGTAGATGACGGAGATGAACTGCCAGACAGCAAAGGCAGAGAAGGGCTTCCCACATTGCTGCGGCTGCCAGTCGAGCTACTCTCAACGAATTTTTCTTTCAACCCTGCTCCAGAATTCTGCGGCGCCTTATAATCGTGGCCTGATGATAATGCCTGGGGGGGCGGCAGTCCTCGTGGCGCGCGCTCTATTAACGAAACGTCATTCGAGCCCCGATGCGGGCTCCTTGCTGCTCCTGGTATTAAGTTGTCCATCGTACTAGAGCTTCCTCCTTCAGCATTGGTGGTCGGCGTCGACGATGAGGATGACGGAGTGCTACGCAGAGCATGAATTTGCTCGTTGATACTCTCTAGCGCACGCAGAGCTCCCTGGTAATCCAGCCTTGCCTGGTGTGCCCTTGCTTCGGCTTCCGCTGCATCAACGTCAAGCGAGAAAGATTAGACAAGCTACTTCCTCAATCATCCAAATCCATGTATGTCATGTATTGAGAAAGTAGGGGGTGCCAAAAGAAACTTTCAACGCCACCAGAGGGCTGCTTGTATGTCATGTATGCGCCCATGTTCTAGTTCTTATGACCTCGGGTAATGTTACACCTACCCGACAATTTCTACGTCTAAGAACTGACTTACACAGTGACATCAGTTGAAGTAAAAAAACCTACTTAGTCTTAAGATAGGGACTCTTGGTAGTAGACCATCTGACGGAACAGGGGTCGGACGTCGTCCACAAGCCACGGACCGATCTGAGCACGCAAGCTGTCTAAAAGTTCAGCCGCGGTCATGAATCGTCGCAAAATTGCCCCGTAGGCTTTTTCTGCGCGGTCTCGCGCCGCGGTGCACTCCATTACCGCTAGACTAGCGCGTGAGAGTTCCTCTTGGTCGCCTGCATCCAGCCGCACCTCGTGTGCCCCAAAGTGGAGCCGCTCTTCCACCTCCCGTAGAGCAATCTTCGCTTCGTCAGCAGCACTCTGTGCGTCCGTGAATTGCAAAAGGCTTGCCTGCATTTCGCTGGCCAAACGCTGCTTACGCTCCTCCTGCTCGAAAAAGGGGCGCGCGGTGTCAATGTCGCGGCCGCGAAGGGACCGCATGTTCCGATAGGTCGCCTTCCACGAGGTCAGCAACGCTGCATGCTTCTTCTTGCGTTCGGCCGCCTCCCGCTCATGCTCATTCACACGTCGCGACGCCACATTCATCTCCTCTAGCAGGCGTGGAACACCACTCTGCAAGCGCCTCTCTTCTGTCTGCGAGCCGAAAACATCAACAACATCCTGTTGAGGTCCTGTGGTTGACGACTGAGCAGACAAGACTCCGCTGAGACCAGTATCCACTTCTTCTTCTTCGTGCTGATCGTCGAAATCCCGTCGAAGGGTGTTCTTTCTTGCACCACCGCCTCCGCGGTCACTGTACACATCTCCAGGGAATCGCGTACCCGGTGAAAATACAGAGCTGCCCCCGCCATTCAGCGGATGTGAAGGTTGAATTCGGCTAGGATGTTTCTTGTTTTTAGAAGCTTCGTCGTAGTTTCCCCTCCCAAATAGCTGGGTTGACGGGCTGGAAAAAAAGCTTCGATCATGCTCCTCAGAATCAGGACTCTGTCCATCGGGTCGCAAATGTTCGGTGAGATCCAGTACGTGTTGACTTGTGGCCATCATTTTCGAGGCAATATTTGCAGTAGTACTACTTCTATTCGCGCCCCCGACCTCTTCCAAACTGCTAGACCAGCTCGTCTCGTCTTCATCTGCTTCAGCGACGAAAGGAACCACGATCTTTTTCACTGGGGCAGTTGGCAAGCCCGTCAAATTCGTCACTGACGCAAAAGTACCTCCAAGAACGGTTTTTTCTGATGATAAAGGCGAAGAGGCACTTGTCCGAAGCTCACCACCCAGACAGCCAACAATTGCGCTTTTCCGCTTCCGTCGTCCTGTAGTTTCTCCTGTAGATATTAAAGAGCCTGTACTACCCCCCGCACGACGAAGAGCTGCCATGGAGCCATCGTTGAGGAAGGAGTCGAGTGACGTCAAACCAGGAGAGGAAGGCTCGCTACCGCTCTCGTCGTAGGTACCCACCCTTTCCGGCAGCACTTCCTCTGATACATTAGGTGCCTGGAGCGTGGAGACTGGATCGCGTGACAGAGGCAAATTAGACGAGTTACGTTGGTGTCCATCCAAAATTCCTGGAGAAGTGGCTGGTAGAGGAAGATAGACGTCTCCCTCAATTATTGCAGCCTCACTTTTGGCTTCTTCACCTGGCGACCGCTTTATTATATCGTCTCCCTCTCTACCTTGTTCCTTTCGTGCGACGCTTGCCCCAGCGGTAAGCTCGTCCCCTTGCTGCTCCGTATCATCCCTACTTGCTCCCGCAGCTATAACTACATCTACACCCCCTTCATCTTCTAATGGTGCTTCTTCTTCTTCTTCTTCTTCTTCAGTTCTTTTGATATAACCGACACTACTCCTTTCTGGTTCTGCAGCAACGTGGTCCTTCCTTGTTCTAGTAGTATAGAGATGATGTTGATGTTGTTCTTGATGTTGTTTCATTTTTTCGCCTCCAGGCTCCTCTTCTAGCATGAGGTCCTCATGCCTCCGTAAAAACTCCTCGTCCGTTTCTGCTTAGAACCGTCCGCAGTTCACCTTTCAAGCGCATCCCTGAAAACGATAGGGGAGCATTCCCTTGTAATACTCCCCCATACGTTTCAAGGATGCAGTCAATCAAAGATGCATGATTAGCTACAACAGCCTTAATCTGAGGACACGTGATCTCGTAAATCGATTTCGTCTAATAGCTGATCTTCAGGAAAGGACACGTGATCTTTTAAATCGATATCGTCTAGTGACCGGTCAACATGATTAGCATGCTTCGTCTCGTCTAGTTCTTCCTGCCCGTGCACCAAATCGCTCTTGCTCCTGGTATCTTCAATGTCATCGTAGCTGATTTCTGCTTTGTCGGAGGCGACAGGCGAGTTCTCACCTTGCACCGAAGATGCTGGTAGTGCGACATCCGCTGTCGTCAGAGCTTCGTCAAGCGGGATGTTGCCTTGCTGCTCATCCTCTTGACCATCGTCTTCTCTAGCACCGCTTGTAGCTGGCACGGGGAGATCGACACCAGCCGCGTCAGCTTCTCCTTTCTCATCTTCACCTGTCACGGCTGGCTCAGCACACGCACTTTGCTTTTCGCTTCCACTAGTACCACTTTCGATAGTACCTGTTGTTTGTGGCGAGCCTTCTGCTCGCTCCGGTGAGAGCTTCGTTTTGTTTCTTATGGACGAAGCATCCTCGTCGTAGTTGTCCCCTTTCCCAACATCATTTGCTCTAATGTTGCGATTTTTTTTTGCTCCTTCAGCAGTGTAGTTCGTATTCTGCGCGCTCTTTTTCGAATGCTCTCCTCCATTTTCGAATGCTCTTTTTTGAGTGCTTCCGTCTGCTGGGCTCGATGACTGTTCGGGCAGCACCAGCTCAGGACGCTCGTCGCAGCTCTCAAACGCATCACCGCTCTCCTCCATGCCACCACGAGCCTTGCTAGAAGTCATAATGGTCCTGCTATCTTGTTCCTCACGAGTGGTGGGATCGTCGAACAGCAACAGGAGACATGATGCATGCTACACGTGTTGAACGCCAACATGCTCATCATCGTAATAAAAAATATTCCGTCACACAGTCACACAGAAGAACAAACATAGCAGATCAACCATGATGGGCCGAGTTCGACGAGTACTACTCCTACCGCTACCCAACTAATCATCAATAGGGGTTAGCATCTGAAGATACACATCCTCGATCTTCACTCATTATCGACGGCAAATAAAATCAACAAACAATGGCTGATAAAATTATAGGGACAGTATCTACACGTACACCGCTTGCTTAGGCGATTGTGACATATCGCACCACAGCATTGAAAAGTCGACCGGCTCCAAATAGCTAGGTGGTCCTTGCGTTGGGTCATGGGAAAGCGTTGGGCATCCTGTCCTGGGTAGAGAAAAAACTTTTACATCATACTTGATAGTATTAAGAGTGATGAATTTTGATCTTCTGTAAAAAATCATGTAATGCAATTCTATCTCTCGGTCTCGTCTTTACTACATACAGACTTAGCGACTCTAGACTTCGTGAAACACATAGGCTCAAAGAACGTCCAACTTCGTCTAAATGCTGAGAAAAGAAATGGAAATTACGAGTCGATCGCGCGACAACGCTCGCTCGTTTCGAATTTCTACTGGAGTACGGGTAGATGACTGCAATCAATGAGAGTAAGTCGCTTCCTTGACGTCTCTTATAAAAGAATCATCTGCAACTCCTTCGAGGTGCAAGCATCAGATTCTCTATGCTGGGAAGAAGTCGTCCGAGACTTCAAACACGCGCGCTCATACGCAAAGACATGAACACGTTTCTGTGTTCTTTTTTCCGATGCTTCGGATTGACTACATCAGGGTGAGGAAGAACACACGCAAGCTGCAGGCGTGCAAATACCACATGCGACGTAGACAGTCTAACATTTCTATCCCGAAGAACTCGTGAACGAGCGACACAGCCGCCATTGAACGCTCCATGACTATGACATACAAATTTGAGATTGAGTTTTTTACCCATAATAAAACAGAAGCAAGTAGAAGTAGACACCACCGCATAATGTATACGTATTCGGCTTCTAAGAAGTTGAAGTAGTTGTTGACTCATAAACATACCTTACAAGATCAGAACATGTTAGTCGTACGCTTGTTGCAGAAGTACAAGTAGTACCAGTCGAGCTTTAGTACACAACAAAGCTGGAAACTTTTGAGCTAAGCCAGGGTCGTGGAGACAAAGACATCATGACACGATGCGATGTTTTCCTATGGGTAGACGATGTTTGTGCGCTTGAAGTCATTTCGGTGCACATTTTCTTTTTGCTAGTGGCGTTCAAAGGGTTTGGGGTTCAAATTTCTACCCTCCGAACAGGAAAGACCAATACTATACGTAGTCTGTCGAGGAGGTACAGGTAGCGGGTTGGCCGCAACCAGAGGTGGTATGAGTCGTGATGACATTTATCTATAGGTATAGGAAGTCATTCAGCGTGCTCCCGATTGAACTGCCAACCTGAAGAAAAAAAGTAGAAAAATACATTGCGGATCATCACATCCTCGGCTGTAGTACGTAAATAGTTCACTTCTTTTTCTTCGGTGTTGTCGAATCTCGCGATGCCTTCACTTTGGGGCTCTTCCCACGCGATGTGCTTCGCGTAGCCGGACTCTTCCCCTTCCTTGAGGAATCAGCCTTCTTCGCTGCTGCACTTGATTTAGAACGGGGAGACGGAAGATACGTTGCATTGGGTGGCGGGACAGGACATGCAGTGTCCTTGGGTGGCAGGAAAAGGAGGATAGTATGTGTGAAGGGACTAGATTTTTGACTGATTAAGGACGAGGCATAGTATACTATCGTATAGTATTTGCCTAACAATAAGTTCTGATAGACCCTCTTCCAAATCCTATTGGAAACAGTCCAGTTCTTGGAATGATTTGCGATGGTAAACTCTGCTGCTACTCCTGCAGAATCCTTCAAACCGTAGTCTACTTGGAATTCAAAAATGTTATATATTTGACAGTAGACTCAATACTCGAGGCTTTCTTGTTCTTCATGCTAAGCCACTTATCGAGAGGAGCCAAGTATTACTATGAAGAAGGCTCGTCAACTACTTGCAAATGCATGCTGACAACTAGAGAGGCACTTAACAGTATTAGATGAACAGGTACAGGAAACTTAGTGAATATAAGAGAGTATTTTTAGAACAGGCACTTAACAGTACTAGAACAGGCACTCTGAAAAAGAGTATTAGTACTTATCTTCATAATTATCGTGTCTTTCTTCAAAAAGATGAGCGCGAACTGAAATCCGAGGGCGATGAGATGCATGCTGACAACCACCGCAAAGACGTTCTGAAGTGACGGCACATCGGCGCCGGACCACGAGGTTAGCTTGGTGCCGAGCACCACTAGGCAAGAAAGTTAGAAAGATGCTACGCATGATCAGAAGTACTAGAGTGTAGCGTAGTAGCAGTGTATCCAATCGTTGGGCTATCTTTAAGTGGTAGCGGTGTAGGGTTCACTACAACTTGGACGACGCTATCACAAGTACTAAAGTGCCAGCAGTTGTGTATCCTTTCGTCGAGCGTACCTCTGTGGTTACAAATGCCCGTCAACTGCTCGTCGGTACTAAAATCTTGATGTTCTGCTTCTGTTGTTCTCCTTCTAGTTGTAAATGAGGTACCTTGCTGTTCTGTAATAATTTTCCTTTTATCTACTCGAAAAAAAATACTCAATTACAATAAAATATGATGCCGTAATTGAGTGGGATGCGGAAGACGTTCATCAGGCTAGCCTGCATATCCTCTGGGTAATACTCGCTTCGCAACAAACCGCCTCCCGCGTTGAAAATGCCCAGGAAGCATTCAAGAGACAAGAACGCGATGAAGACAGGCCAAAAATCAAAGAAGAAAATCGGTGTCGCCATGGCGCAAGCCGACAATGCATACGCGACCAAACACATTCCATGGCCTCCGAAAAACGGAAGCAGCAGCCCTAAAGATAATTTGCTTCCCTAGTATTAAAAGAGTAATAATGGTCAAAAGATTTCGGAGAGGTTTTTCGAGGGATTATCGGGGGGAGAAGGGGGGGTCCT